AAATAAACGCATTTCAGTTTACCTTGGAGTAAAACCGGGCAGGGGTGTCGTGGTAGCACTGTTAGATGCTTGCCACACCAGCCCAAATGGCTTGGATTTAAAATCTGCACCAGGGCAGATTTTTCTTTTATTAACAGACTGACTCCCAGACTAGCCTAACATGACTACCATGTTATGTCATGGGAAGTAGAAGTATCTGGTATGATGTTGATCACATCACCCATGGAGTGTCAATTTGTCAACAACAATATGAGTCTAGCATCACACAACTAATGTACCAACTGGAAAAAGGGTCTTTTCTTACTTTACTTGGAAGAGAAATGAAACCACAGGAGAAACACTACTAAATCACAAGACAAACACTACAACCAACAAGAGAGAGAAAAAGAATCACAGGACAAACACTTCCAACAACGAGAGAGAAACAGAATCACTGGACAAACACCAACCAACAAGAGAAATTATTTGAATGTCTCCGGTGACATCATGGGGTAAGTTAAAATTATTGTACCGTAATGTTTGTCAGGTGATTCTGTTTTTCTCTCTTGTTGGTAATAGTGTTTGTCTTGTAATTCTCTCTCTCTCTCTCTCTCTCTCTCTCTCTCTCTCTCTCTCTCTCTCTCTCTCTCTCTCTCTCTCTCTCTCTCTCTCTCTCTCTCTCTCTCTCTCTCTCTCTCTCTCTCTTGTTGGTTGGTGTTTGTCCTGTGATTCTGTTTCTCTCTCTTGTTGGTGGTAGTGTCTGTCCTGTGATTCTTTTTCTCTCTTGTTGGTTGTAGTGTTTGTCTTCTGATTTAGTAGTGTTTCTCATGTGATTTTATTTCTCACTTCCAAGTAAAGTAAGAAAAGACCCTTTTTCCAAGTGGCACATTGGTTGTGTGATGCTAGACTCATATTGTTGTTGACAAATTGACACTCCATGGGTGATGTGATCAACATCATACCAGATACCTCTACTTCCCATGACATAACATGGTAGACATTTTAGGCTAGTCTGGGAGTCAGTCTTTAAAAAAAAATATGCCATGGTGCAGATTTAAATCCTAGCTTTTTGGGCTGGTGTGCAAGCATCTAACAGTGCTACCACGACACCCCTGCCCGGTTTTACTCCAAGGTAAACTGGAATGTTTATTTATGTATGTCTCCTTTGAGTTCAGTATTTACAATTTGCTGATTTAGTAGATTGAAAAGTTGGTAATCTGAAATTATTTTCTCTCTTGTTTGTCGTAGTGATTCTGTTTTTTTCTCTTGTTGGTAATAGTGTTTGTCTTGTAATTCTCTCTCTCTTGTTGATTGGTGTTTGTCCTGTGATTCTGTTTCTCTTGTTGGTAATAGTGTTTGTCTTGTAATTCTCTCTCTCTCTTGTTGGTTGGTGTTTGTCCTGTGATTCTGTTTCTCTTGTTGGTGGTAGTGTCTGTCCTATGATTCTTTTTTTTTCTATTGTTGGTTGTAGTGTTTGTCTTGTGATTTAGTAGTGTTTCTCCTGTGATTTTATATCTCACTTCCAAGTAAAGTAATAAAAGACCCTTTTTCCAAGTGGCACATTGGTTCAGATTTAAATCCAAGCTTTTTGGGCTGGTGTGCAAGCATCTAACAGTGCTACCTCGACACCCCTGCCCGGTTTTACTCCAATGTAAACTGGAATGTTTATTTATGTATGTCTCCTTTGAGTTCAGTATTTACAATTTGCTGATTTAGTAGATTGAAAAGTTGCATTCCAGCCACATAGAGTTAAACTCCAGCCACTAGTAGATTGCGTTACTTTCCAGCCACTAGTAGATAGTTGTGTTAGTTTTCAACCATTAGTAGTTAGTTCCTGCCCCTAGTTGATTGTTAGGCTAGTTTCCAGCCACTAATAGTTATGTTACTTTTCAGCCATTGGTAGATTGTTTCTTCCCAACCGCTGGTAGATTGAAAAATTACATTTTAACCACTAGTAGATTATTTTACTTTCCAGTCACTTGTTAAGTTACTTTCCTACCATTTGTAGTTACTTTCCAACCAACAGTAGATTGTTGTCTTACATTCCAGCCACTAGAAGATAATGTTACTTTCCAGCCACTAGTAGATTGTAGTGTTATTTTCCAACCACTAATAGATTGAAAAGCTACATTCCAACCACATGGAGTTATATTCCATTCACTAGTAGAATGTTATGTTACTTTCCAACCACTTGTAGCTACTATTCATCGACTAGCAGATTGTTACGCTACTTTTTAACTGCTAGTAGATAGCTGTTATGTTCCAACCATTAGTTTTTTAACTCCAGCCACAAGTATACTGTTATACTGATTTTAGCCACTAGTTGACTGTTATGTTACTTTTCAACCACTAGTAGATTAAACACATTTTATTCGTGGACAGAGAGACTTCCTATTTATTTGTTGACATAATTTTTTTTTTTTTAAACAGATAAGAAGTCTCTGTCAACAACAACGAAAAGAAGTCTTTCAACAAATAAAAAAGAAATCGCTGTCCAAAAAAAAAAAAAAAAAAAAAAAAAAAGAAGTCCCTTTCAGCAAATAAAAAATATGCCTCTGTCAACAAATAAAGATGTCTCTGTCAACCAATAAAAAAGAAGTCAATGTCAACAAATAATTTTTTTAATTAGTTGATAGATTCTTCCATTTTAGTTGCTGAGAGAGACGTCTTTTTCAGTTGTTGACAGAGACTTTTTCTTTATTGTTGTTGTTGACAGAGACATCTTCTTTATTTTTTGACAGACTTCTTTTTCATTTGTTGAAAGAAACTTCCATATTTATTGGTGGACAAAGACTTCCTATTTTTTTGTTGACAGAGACTACTTTTTTATTTTGTGACAGAAAAGAAGTCTCTGTCAACAACAATAAAAACAAGCTGACGAGAGCTGTGTGCTTTTGGAGTAGGGCAAGGGAAGTCCGTCTCCAGTCAGACGTGGTTGTCTGCAGAAATAATATTAAGCAGTACGGCGTGCCCAGAGTTGTGTACGCTGTAGGCCTTTGGAGCTATAGGGGGCAAGGAAAGGCCGCTACAAGTTGTGAGAGAGCTAGTGCTGACTAAATGGACTATGGGCGAATGTCAGTTGGAATCAATAGCTAGTCTCTGCAGTTGTCATGTAACCTGTTGAATAAAATTTATGACAGAGTCATTGTTGTTGAGTTCTGTTTCTAAGAGAGAAAGCCAAAGTTGTACCTGCTGGACGCTTTGCAGTGTGCTTGCTAGTTGTAGCTCAGTTAGCGCACAACAGACTTCTCTTTCTTCAACAAATAAAAATGAAAACTGTCAAAAAATAGTCTGTCAAAAAAAAAGTCTCTGTCAACAAATAAAGAAGTCTCTGTTAGCAAATAAAAAATCTCTCTCATCAAATAAAAAAAAAGTGTCAACAAATAGTCTGTTAGCAAATAAAAAAAGAAGTCTCAAGAAATTTAAAAAAAAAGTCAACAAACAAAACAAAGTCTCTTTCAACAAAAAAGCTTTTTTATCAATAGAGACTTTTTTTTTTTTTTTTTTTTTTTTTGACAGAGACTTTTTTTTATTTGTTGACAAATACTTATTTATTTTTTGACAGAGAAGAAGTCTGTCATCAAATTTAAAAAAAAAAAAGTCTTTGTCAACAAATAGTCTGTCAACAACAAAAAAGATGTCTCAGTCAACAAATAAAAAAGAAGTCTTATCAACAAATAAAAAGGAAGCTCACTTGTTGACAGAGACTTCTTTTTCATTTGTTGACAGATTTCTTTTTCATTTGTTGACTGAGACTTCTTTTTTTATTTGTTGACAGAGACTTCTTTATTTATTGACAATTTCTTTTAAGTTATTGACATAGCCTCCGTTTTTAATTTTTGGGTAGACCTCTTTTTAATTTGTCGACAGACTTTTTTTTTTTCAACAACAAAAAAAAAATGTCTGTCAACAAATTAAAAAAAAAGAAGTCTGTCGAAAAATAAAGAAGTTTCTGCCAGAAAGAAAAAAAAAAGGCTGTCAAAAAAAAGGGCTTCTTTTTTGTTGTTGTTGAAAGAGACTTCGTTTTTGTTTGTTGCCAGAGACTTCTTTATTTGTCGAAAGACTTTTTTTTTTTTTTTTGTTGACAGACATTTTTGTTGTTGTTGGCCGACTTAATTTGTTGACAAAGACTTTTTTTTATTTGATGACAGACTTCTTTCTCTGTCAAAAAATAAATAAGAAGTATCTGTCAACACAAGAAGTCTTTGTCATCAAATAAAAAAGAAGTCTATCAACAAATAAAAAGGAAGCTTACTTGTTGACAGCCTTCTTTTTCATTTGTTGGCAGACTTTTTTTTTTATTTTCATTTGGTGGACTTTTTCATTTTTTTGTATTTTCCATAGAACATTTTTTTGACAGGGATTTTTTTTTTTTTTTTGGTGGACACTTTTTTTAAAGACCTTTTTGGGGGGGGGGGGGGGGGACGAGAAAGGGGGGGGGGGGGGGGGGGGGCGGCGACACTTTTTTTCTTTTGCTGACAGACACTTCTTTTTCATTTGTGGAGGAGCGAGAGAGACTTACTCTGCTGATAGTGTGCAATGTGGATAGAGTATGACTCATTTTATTTTGTTGAAACAGTAAATGCAATTCTGACCTGAATATAAAACAAATATTTTGGATGAAAAATGCTTTTTAATTTCCCTTTAAATTATGAAGAAAAAAGAGCCAATTAAAAACTACACCGTTGGAGATTCTGTTCAATGAACCTTGAAATCTTTAAGTCTTGATTTGAACTCATCATTCATGCTTACACTTTTTGGGTGGGTTGGGCAGAGAGACAAGGTTTTAAAACAAATGTCTGCCTGGTCTCCAAGGCAATCTCCCCAACCCACCCAAAAAGTGTGGACATGATCAACCCTCCCAAAATCCAACAACCCTCTCCTCCCGTAAATTCAAACTTTTATTTAAAGTGTTAAAAGCTGGTCAGTTAATGCAACAAGCCATGAAATCTCAAGTAAAGGTATCTGCTGGTCAGTCAATACAGCACAACATGGAATCCAGCAACAAATGGATGGCTTGGCTACTTCTTCCGGCCACCCCTCTCCTTCATCTGCAGATGCACTGTTGCACCATTCATAAAGTTGTAGAAGGCCAGGCTATTGGAATCCTTAACAAACATGCCCTGTAGGAATACAACAGTAAAAACAATAGTAATTTCACGCTGTCTATCTCTCATCAAGATCATAATTAAGTGCTTAAGGCCTTAGCGAACATGCTTCTCAACAACTTGTGATCCAGTTTTTGTGCCAACACCTTTCCATGTTACAACTTCTCGTTCACCAGCCGTACACTCCAGCAGGACGTTCTGGTTGCTTGTCCATCTGTGGACTTGTTCCTCCTTCTTCTTTGCGTTTGGTTTTGTATGCTCAGATCAGACCAACAGGTGAGTTGCCTCTATGAACTCACATGTCAGCTGCAGGTCATGCATGGTTCCCCATAGCTTGCTCTACACTTTGCTCTTGAGGCCAGGTGTCTTTTTGAAGTTGCAGGTATAGTGGGCAGGTTTGCAGAATGTGCTGAGGTGTTTGTGGTCCTGTTTGACAGGCACACTGTGGGGACTGTACAATCTTTATTTTATGCATGTGGAGCCTGCAGTGTCCTGTTCGTAGACGGAAAATTGTTGTATGTTGCTTTCTGTTGAGTCTGCTGATGGGGATGTTTACTGTTAGTTTGTTCTCTCCACAATCCCTGGTATTTTCCTTTGATAAGTGTTTTGATTTTTGGTAATGACAATGAATGGTTGTGTTGTTTATCTCCGTTGTTCCATTTTTTGCAAGTCTCAAGTCTGTCTGCTAACAAATTTCCTGGTATGCCACAGTGAGCCGGGATCCACTGGAGAACGATTTGATTGTTTTCTGTGAGTCTGTTTAGCCGACGAGTCAGTTCCCTTTCGTTGTTGTCTCGTGGATCCCTAGGAGTCGCCTGGAGGACCGACATGCAGTCACAAAGGAAAACAATTTTGCTGTTTTTAATAAATTTTTTTCTCGAGCACTTTGGCGGAATCAATAATTGCTTGTTGCTCTGCTCTGAAGTTTGTTGAGAGTCTTCAGGAGGCGCATGACGTTTCTATTGTGATCCCATCTTGCAGCATGATGACCAATCCAGCTCCTCCATTTTTGTCTGCTCCCTCCAATGATCCATTGATGTATACGTGTGTCCATTCGGGTTTTAGATAACAGTTGCAGACATGTTCAAGGGTCTTTGCACGCAGTAATAAGTCACATTCTTCAGCCCTTCTGTCTATGCCCGGAATTGTTGTTGTGACTGTATATTTAGGCTGTAGGTCTATGCTGTATGCCTGGATCAATTCCAATGTTGAAGGATCTTTAGAAAGGATGTCACTGTTTTTTGTGTAGTACATTTTTGATAAATGGTGATAGCTTTGTCTTTACAGTCGGTTTTTTTTTATGTTATTTGCCATTCTGTGCATGAGGTTGTTGTTCATGCCTTAAAATTTTTCTGTTAGGGTAAGCAAATTTTCTTCCCTTCGAAAGCTCAAGCTCTGCTGGCCACAAGTTGCCTTCAGCTCATTAATTGGTTTTCTTCTCATACCTCCAGTGATGATTCTGAGACGAGTGTTCTGTATTTTATCCAGTTTGTGTAGGTTTGTTTTGGCTGCAGTGGAGTATGCTCCCATGCCATACTCCAGTTTTGGTCGTACGCATCCAGTGTAAACTTGTACAGTGTTGGCATCTGCACCCCAGCTTGCTCCAGTAAGTTACTTCATAAGTCTGAGCCTCAGGGCAACTTTCCTTTGGGTGTCTTCAATGTGGGGGCCCTAGGTTAGCCTTTTGACAAATTTTACTCCCAAATATGTGGGGTTATCCTCTTTTGGAAGGATGTTTCCTTCTAGGTACAGATCAACTTGTTCTGGCTTTGTGGAAAGAGAACAAAGTTGAGACGGTTTTGGTATGGTTTATTGTAACTCCCCAAGAGTGTCCATTTCTTAACTGTATTTATAGCTTCCTGCAATCTTGTTTTAGTTGTTCCTGTATGTTCAGCTTGAGTACATATAGCCAGGTCATCTGCATGTAGTGCCTTGTGAATGTGAGTTATGAACTGTTTTTGACGGTCATTGATTAAAAGAATAAACAGGGTAGGAGATTTAACACCTCCCTGGGGGACACCTTCTTGTAACCTGACCAACTTGCATTTGTGATCTTCCAGTCTGACTCTCGCACAGCGTCTGTAAAGGAAGTCTCTAATCCATGCAAACATATGCCCTTTTATCCCACAGTGTGCTAGTTTTAGCAAGTCCTTTCTTCCAGACCTTATTGAAGGCTTCTCTAAGAAAGTAGCTAGTAGTTTGTATTTTTTCTGGAAAGCATCTTCAATTTTCTGTGCGAGATAAGAGGTTTGGACTTGTTGAGAGGTAAGGATCCATCAGCTCACATACAAAAAAAAAAAAAGGCTAGATCTGTGAAACTAATGGGCACACACCACTCAGGTTCAGGGACTTGTTATAGAACCTGAGTGTTGTGTGCCCATTAGTTTCACAGATCTATAATTTTCTTGTATGTGGGCTGATGGATCCTTACCTCTCAGGCAGATGTACTCTGACTTCGAAGAAAGCTCTAATGAATAAACTCTTACTACTTGCTTGTTGGGGAGGTAGTGGGGCCCGGGAACCCATACAGGGACCATATTTATAGCAAAAGGTGCCATTTTTTCCTCTTGCCTATCTTTCCAGCTGTCATATGCTTGAGAGTCTCTTCATATAACACCCCCCCCCCCCCCCCCGAAGACACTAGAAAATAAGTAGTAACCTAACCTACAGTAGTGTAGCATTCTACTGTAAGTACTAATAAAGTACTGAAGCAGTGTGTGCTGTCAGCAGTATAGCAGAGTGAACTGTGAGTACTTTAGTTAAGTACTGTAGCAGAGTGTGCTGTCAGTGGTGCAGCTTGTACTGTCAGCAGTGTAGCACAGTGTGCTGTGAGTAGTATACTGTCAGTAGTGCAGTAGAATGTGCTGTTAGCAGTGTAGCTGAGTGTACAGCCAGTAGTGTATCGTGTGCATACTGTCAATAGTGTAGCGTGTGCTGTCAGCAGTATTCTGTCAGTAGTGTAGTAGAATGTGCTGTCAGTAGTGTAGCAGAGTGTGCTGTCAGTAGTATAGCGTGTGCTGTCAGCAATGTAGCAGAGTGTGCTATCAGTAGTGTAGTAGCCTGTGCTGTCAGTAGTGTAGCAGAGTGTGCTGTTGGCAAAATACTGTTGGTAGTGTAGCGTACTGTCAGTAGCGTAGCAATGTACTGTATTATTCTTGCAGTGTATGGAATATAAAGTAGTGTAGCGAATGTACCAGAAACAGGCAGAAGAATTGACCGTTCACTCCTACTCATGACATGCCTAAAGAATCTGGGCTGTCTTTTTGCCATGCAGGTAATCCTGCTTTGAAGCCTTCATTACACATTTTTTCTTATTCAACAACACCCCACTTTTAAACAGCTTTTCATAATCAGCTGACTGAGTGGTACATGATTACTATGCTCTATGTTAACTCTTAATAGTTATTTTTCATCTATGTTAATAAAGATGACTCCACAGAATACAGCGTTGCTTTTGCTCAAACTATTCTACATTTCACATTCTTAATACATCTTCCATCTGTCCGTCACCAGGGCACCTGAATATATCAACTTGTCCCATTTACTTTAATATTACATTTTGGAAGCCATTGTCTTCTTTGCAATCACCATTATTTCTGTGGGTTTTCTCTTTTCACATTTCTAACTTGAGGTCTTTGTTTCAAGCTTCTCTTACTGTTATGCCTAACATTTCTTTATCTGTATTTAATTTTCAGTGTTCACGAGAGTATCAGCAGATGAGTATCATCAGCATCTGGCAGGTCGTCTACATAACCCCCCTCCCCACCAAATCTCATTATTGTTCTCCTGCATACATAAAATAAACTAGGTGATAGAACACTGTGTTTAATGTATTGTGAAAGGTTTCCACATAGTTATTTATTCTTATCACATCTGATAATTGAGTGTTGGTTAAAAGAAACATGCGTGCATCAACTTTATGTTGTGTGTGACCAGTATGAGTAGCAATGGACAAGTTTACTTTATAAGGAACAACTACCCAGAAGACCATACAGTGTGTATGGGGGAAAGATTATAATTAAATTTCTCACAAACCTAAAAAGCTAAAACAAATACTCACCTCGTACTGCAGTTTCTGTTTACCTGCCGGCATGGCCAGAGACTCGTGAATTTTGGCCTTCAACACCGATATCTGCAGGAAGACAACAAAAACATACAAATAGTTTTAATAACTGCAGAAAAGATAATGGTTATCCAAATGACACAGCTTACAAAATTTACACTAGATTTATAACAAATTTTTTTTTAAATCGTGGTCAAAGACAGCAGATTAATATTAAAATCAAAGACAGTACAATTTATAACAAACTTCAAGGAGCACTAACATCAGCAAAGTTTATATCATCTAATAAATTATATAGAGCGGTGTGTATGTATGCACAATGTTAAAAGTAAATATAGTGACATGTAAAGATGACGACGCTGGCGGAAAAATCTATGTATCAATAATGACAACGCTGGTGAAAAATCTATGGATGGATAATGACTCAATGCTGGTGGAAAATCTATGTATAGATGACATTACTGGTGAAAAAATCCATGTACAGATAACTCAATCAACACTGGTGGAACAAACTAAATATGGCTCAATGATGGTTGAAACATCTATGTATAGACGACAATTCGAAACTGGCTGCAAAATCTACATATGATAACTCAACACTGGTGGAAAATTCTATGTATAAACAGCTCAACACAGGTGGAAAAATCTATGTATAGATGACTCAATGCTGATGAAAAATCCATATCCATACATAGATGACAATTCTACATTGATACAAAAATCTATGGATAGATGATGACTTAATGATGGTGGAAAAATCAATGGATAGATAACTCAATGCTGATGGAAAAATCTATATATATAGATGACAATTCTACATTGATAAAAGACCTATGGATTCATGATGACTATACTGATGGAAAATCTATGTATAGATGACGACTCAATGCTGGTGGAAAATTTGAGATTTGAGTTTTCTTGGCTGAATATGAATAGTAAATCCAGTACACGTTTGGATCTGCACTGGTGTATTTTATATAACAGACTGGCTGACTCCTAGGTCTACTCTGTCTGAAACATCTATTTATACCATCAGCACTTGTGGTAAGCTAGTTCTACTCGGACATATACTGATTCTATCATCAGCACCTGTAAGCTACACAGACATACATCTGTTGTACCATCAACAATTGTGGTAAGTTAATTCTACATAGACAGACATCTAATACCATCAGCACTTGTGGTAAGTTACTTCTACACTACAATCAACACTTGTGGTAAGTTAGATCTACATAGACATCTACTATATTATCAGCACTTGTGGTAAGTTAGATCTACATAGACATCTACTATATTATCAGCACTTGTGTAAGTTAGATCTACACATGAGACTGTCTACTATATCATCAGCACTTGTGTAAGTTAGATCTACACATGAGACTGTCTACTATATCATCAGCACTTGTGTAAGTTAGATCTACACATGAGACTGTCTACTATATCATCAGCACTTGTGTAAGTTAGATCTACACATGAGACTGTCTAATATACCATCAGCACTTGTGTAAGTTAGATCTACACATGAGACTGTCTACTATATCATCAGCACTTGTGTAAGTTAGATCTACACAGACATCTGCTATACCATCAGCACTTGTGATAAGTTAGTTTTACAGACATCTACTATATCCTCAGCACTTGTGGAAGTTGGATCTACAAAGACAGACATCTACTATATAATCAGCACTTATGTAAGTTAGATCTACACAGACATCTATACCATCGATACTTGTGATAAGTTAGTTCTACAAAGACATCCACTATATCATCAGCACTTGTTTAAGTTAGATCTACACAGACATCTACTATATCATCAGCACTTCTGTAAGTTAGATCTACACAGACATCTGCTATACCATCAACACTTGTGATAAGTTAGTTCTACAAAGACATACATCTACTTTACAATCAACACTTACGGTAAGTTGATTCTAACTTATGGTAAATTAATTTAACAGGCATCTACTATACCACCAGCACAGTTATCTGTAAAGAGACAGACACATGTTTGACTTACGGAATCTGTGAGAGGCAAGTTGTATTCAACTGTCTGTCCCTTCAAGTTCCATTCAGGTTTGTCAGAGACATTTGGTACCACAACTAGAACCTTGACACTTCCCTGTTGAAAACACAATTCTCCATGTTAAACTGAGTTAGTCACATAAATGTAAAAGCTGACAACATATATCATTTAATTAGAAGCTGATTAACTAATAAAACATTCACTAGAAGACAATATCAAGGTACCCTGGAAGGAGGGTGATTGAGAATAGTTCCTGAAAAACAAATTAGGCAGAAGCAGACCTCTGTGAAAGCTGATACATGACAATGAATATGCACTGGCTATGAAAGCACATAGGGCTGGAGAACTTGCCAAGGAAAGAGAGACTTTCAGTTGTGCCATGACGACAGTGATGCTCTGTAAAGGATATGCTGATTGATTAGGCAGACAGTTCAATAAAATAATTTTTTTAAAAGCATAGTAAATGCACAAACTGCTACATGCTCACTATAAATAAGGGTGCAAAAATCAAGATCAACCTATTTCACACATCTGATGGACAATGTGACACGGTTTTAAAGAAAATAATCACCTTATCCAGAGACTTTTATTAGAATAAGTAGCATCATGGTAACTGCTTCACAATATCTCAGTGGCTAGATTCTTGGCTGTTGCCTCGAAGGTATAAAATTAAAATCTGCATGGAGTCCAATAACTTTTTTTTTTTTAACTGACCTCTGCTTCCACATCAACCTGGTCTAAAAAAGGTATATATATCCTTAATATGCATGAAGATGACGCATAAAGGAACATAAAAACATATAAAATGCTAGAAGAACACATGAGACTTTCATGTCATAAAAACAGATGAGACCGTTACGATAGAAGAACACATGAGACTGTCATGCTAGAAGAACAGATGAGACTGTCATGCTAGAAGAACATATGAGACTGTCATGCTAGAAGAACAGATGAGACTGTCATGCTAGAAGAACACATGAGACTGTCATTCTAGAAGAACAGATGAGACTGTCATGCTAGAAGAACAGATGAGACTGTCATGCTAGAAGAACAGATGAGACTGTCATGCTAGAAGAACATATGAGACTGTCATGCTAGAAGAACAGATGAGACTGTCATGCTAGAAGAACAGATGAGACTGTCATGCTAGAAGAACACATGAGACTGTCATTCTAGAAGAACAGATGAGACTGTCATTCTAGAAGAACAGATGAGATCGTCATGCTAGAAGAACACATGAGACTGTCATTCTAGAAGAACACATGAGATCGTCATGCTAGAAGAACACATGAGACTGTCATTCTAGAAGAACAGATGAGATCGTCATGCTAAAAGAACACATGAGACTGTCATTCTAGAAGAACACATGAGACTGTCATTCTAGAAGAACAGATGAGACTGTCATGCTAGAAGAACACATGAGATCGTCATGCTAGAAGAACACATGAGACTGTCATGCTAGAAGAACACATGAGACTGTCATTCTAGAAGAGCATATGAGACTGTCATGCTAGAAGAACAGATGAGATCGTCATGCTAGAAGAACAGATGAGACTGTCATGCTAGAAGAACACATGAGACTGTCATTCTAGAAGAACACATGAGACTGTCATTCTAGAAGAACAGATGAGATCGTCATGCTAAAAGAACAGATGAGATCGTCATGCTAGAAGAACACATGAGACTGTCATGCTAGAAGAACACATGAGACTGTCATTCTAGAAGAACAGATGAGATCGTCATGCTAGAAGAACACATGAGACTGTCATGCTAGAAGAACACATGAGACTGTCATTCTAGAAGAACAGATGAGATCGTCATGCTAGAAGAGCACATGAGACTGTCATGCTAGAAGAACACATGAGACCGTCATGCTAAAAGAGCATATGAGACTGTCATGCTAGAAGAACAGATGAGACTGTCATGCTAGAAGAACTCATGAGACTGTCATTCTAGAAGAACAGATGAGACTGTCATTCTAGAAGAACACATGAGACTGTCATGCTAGAAGAACACATGAGACTGTCATTCTAGAAGAACACATGAGACTGTCATACTAGAAGAACAGATGAGATCGTCATGCTAGAAGAACAGATGAGACTGTCATGCTAGAAGAACACATGAGACTGTCATTCTAGAAGAACAGATGAGATCGTCATGCTAGAAGAACAGATGAGACTGTCATGCTAGAAGAACACATGAGACTGTCATTCTAGAAGAACAGATGAGATCGTCATGCTAGAAGAGCATATGAGACTGTCATGCTAGAAGAACACATGAGACCGTCATGCTAGAAGAGCATATGAGACTGTCATGCTAGAAGAACAGATGAGACTGTCATGCTAGAAGAACACATGAGACTGTCATTCTAGAAGAACAGATGAGACTGTCATTCTAGAAGAACACATGAGACTGTCATGCTAGAAGAACACATGAGACTGTCATGCTAGAAGAACACATGAGACTGTCATTCTAGAAGAACACATGAGACTGTCATGCTAGAAGAACACATGAGACTGTCATTCTAGAAGAACACATGAGACTGTCATGCTAGAAGAACACATGAGACTGTCATGCTAGAAGAACACATGAGACTGTCATGCTAGAAGAACACATGAGACTGTCATGCTAGAAGAACACATGAGACTGTCATGCTAGAAGAACACATGAGACTGTCATGCTAGAAGAACATATGAGACTGTCATGCTAGAAGAACACATGAGACTGTCATGCTAGAAGAACATGAGACTGTCATGCTAGAAGAACAGATGAGACTGTCATGCTAGAAGAACACATGAGACTGTCATGCTAGAAGAACAGATGAGACTGTCATTCTAGAAGAACAGATGAGATCGTCATGCTAGAAGAACACATGAGACTGTCATGCTAGAAGAACACATGAGACTGTCATGCTAGAAGAACACATGAGACTGTCATGCTAGAAAAAACATATGAGACTCATGCTAGAAGAACAGATGAGATCGTCATACTAGAAGAACAGATGAGATCGTCATTCTAGAAGAACAGATGAGATCGTCATGCTAGAAGAACAGATGAGATCGTCATGCTAGAAGAGCACATGAGACTGTCATGCTAGAAGAACATATGAGACTGTCATGCTAGAAGAACAAATGAGACTGTCATGCTAGAAGAACATATGAGACTGTCATGCTAGAAGAACACATGAGATCGTCATACTAGAAGAACAGATGAGATCGTCATTCTAGAAGAACAGATGAGATCGTCATGCTAGAAGAACAGATGAGATCGTCATGCTAGAAGAGCACATGAGACTGTCATGCTAGAAGAACACATGAGACCGTCATGCTAGAAAAACACATGACCATAATGCTAGAACATAGACAGGTACGAACAAATGAGACAGTTATGCTAGAACATATGAGACTGTTAGGCTAGAACACCTGAGACAGTTATGCTAGAACTCATAAGACGACTATTCTAGAACATATGAGACCATTACAAGCTTGTACACAAAACACCACTACTGGCGTGCCAGCGCTGAAAGAACACATGAGACAGTTACAAGCTTGTACACAAAACACCACTACTGGCATGCCACTGCTGAAAGAACACATGAGACAGTTACAAGCTTGTACACAAAACACCACAACTGACGTGCCAGTGCTGAAAGAACACATGAGACAGTTACAAGCTTGTACACAAAACACCACAACTGACGTGCCACTGCTGAAAGAACACATGAGACAGTTACAAGCTTGTACACAAAACACCACAACTGACGTGCCACTGCTGAAAGAACACATGAGACAGTTATAAGCTTGTGGGACACCACTACTGGCGTGCCAGTGCTGAAAGAACACATGAGACAGTTATAAGCTTGTACACAAAACGCCACTACTGGCATGCCAGTGCTGAAAGAACACATGAGACAGTTATAAGCTTGTGGGACACCACTACTGGCATGCCAGTGCTGAAAGAACACATGAGACAGTTACAAGCTTGTACACAAAACACCACAACTGACGTGCCACTGCTGAAAGAACACATGAGACAGTTATAAGCTTGTACACAAAACACCACTACTGGCATGCCAGTGCTGAAAGAACACATGAGACAGTTATAAGCTTGTGGGACACCACTACTGGCATGCCAGTGCTGAAAGAACACATGAGACAGTTATAAGCTTGTGGGACACCACTACTGGCATGCCAGTGCTGAAAGAACACATGAGACAGTTATAAGCTTGTGGGACACCACTACTGGCATGCCAGTGCTGAAAGAACACATGAGACAGTTATAAGCTTGTGGGACACCACTACTGGCGTGCCAGTGCTGAAAGAACACATGAGACAGTTATAAGCTTGTGGGACACCACTACTGGCGTGCCACTGCTGAAAGAACACATGAGACAGTAATAAGCTTGTGGGACACCACTACTGGCGTGCCAGTGCTGAAAGAACACATGAGACAGTTATAAGCTTGTGGGACACCACTACTGGCATGCCAGTGCTGAAAGAACACATGAGACAGTTACAAGCTTGTACACAAAACACCACAACTGACGTGCCACTGCTGAAAGAACACATGAGACAGTTATAAGCTTGTGGGACACCACTACTGGCGTGCCAGTGCTGAAAGAACACATGAGACAGTTATAAGCTTGTGGGACACCACTACTGGCATGCCAGTGCTGAAAGAACACATGAGACAGTTACAAGCTTGTACACAAAACACCACAACTGACGTGCCACTGCTGAAAGAACACATGAGACAGTTACAAGCTTGTACACAAAACGCCACTACTGGCATGCCAGTACTGAAAGAACACATGAGACAGTTATAAGCTTGTGGGACACCACTACTGGCATGCCAGTGCTGAAAGAACACATGAGACAGTTATAAGCTTGTGGGACACCACTACTGGCATGCCAGTGCTGAAAGAACACATGAGACAGTTATAAGCTTGTGGGACACCACTACTGGCGTGCCAGTGCTGAAAGAACACATGAGACAGTTATAAGCTTGTGGGACACCACTACTGGCGTGCCACTGCTGAAAGAACACATGAGACAGTTATAAGCTTGTGGGACACCACTACTGGCGTGCCAGTGCTGAAAGAACACATGAGACAGTTATAAGCTTGTGGGACACCACTACTCGAGTGTCAGTGCTCAAATAATACCTTACCTTGAACTTCTGCAAGAAGACATCCTCTGGGATCAGATTTTCCTCTGTCTTCTGTTTCTTGTTAGGAGGTTCATCCGGGATACTAACTACAGGTCGCAGAGGTATCTGCTGGGAGATTATAGGTGGTGCAGGCGGTAGTCCCATCATTGGAGCCATCATTGGCGGTCGGGGCATGCCTGTGTGATGATGGTTAATTATACTACACTGATAGTGAATACCAGCAATGAGGTATAAACAATGATTTTATATGTTAGGTCAGTTACTCAGCTTTATAAAAGTAGGAGACGGCAATGTCAGTTTTTCTCAGTAATATAAAGAGATGTTTTTAATGTAATGTCAGGTTTTCTTTTTGATTTAGAGCAGTTTTATGTACAATGTCAGTTTTCTCAGGGATATATTGGTTTGTGAGAGACTTGCTAGCTTTAATTTCAACTTCTCCAGGCACTTCCCCACTGTCACAGATGGCTCTAATTTGACTCAACCTCCTGAGCCTATAACAAAGTACGTTTGTTCAGCAGTGTCCGAGATTTGCTGAGAATTCTACTTCTTTCTCTCCTTCTAAACAGTTCAGGTGGAAAGTTCTGGTTGTTGTTCATCCACCTCTGGGCTTCGGTCTTGTTCCAGAACTTGGGTTTTGTGTATGCACACTGTTGCTTCCTCACCTTTCAAGCGGGTGCATTTTGACTTCACAGGAGACACCTCTAATTAGTCGACTTTAACAACATGATTATTCTTTTCCTCTAAGAAATGGGGCCCCACAGCCCACACAGGAATCTGTTGTTACTATTTCTTTAAAAAAATTGGGCCTCGCAGCTCACAAAGGGATCTGTGATTTCTATTTCTAAATGAAATGGGGCCCCACAGCCCTCACAGGAATCTGTTGTTACTATTTCTTTAAAATAATCGGGCCTCGCAGCTCACAAAGGGATCTGTGATTTCTATTTCTAAATGAAATGGGGCCCCACAGCCCTCACAGGAATCTGTTGTTACTATTTCTTTAAAATAATTGGGCCTCGCAGCTCACAAAGGGATCTGTGATTTCTATTTCTAAATGAAATGGGAAATCCCAGCCCACACAGGTATCTGTGATTTCTATTTCTAACCAAATATGCTAGGCACAAACAGAAACTAGTGAGGCATATTTCCTAAACAATTTGACCAGGGCTTTCAGGTAGATTCAGGCTAAAATGGGTACCAGGAAATGACATGGAAAATAGGTGGTCAACAGGCACCCTTGGTGTAACCAGAGGGTCTGGCCGGCTCACTACACTCAGAGAAAAGGCTAGACGGACATATAACCAGATTGTGACGGGTACCATCAGTACGGGAACTCTGTGCTAGCTGCTGAAGATGAGGACAGAGCATGCATGGTAATGCCCCGAGTGCTGTGATGTCAATTCTTGACAACTCAACTCTACTCAGGCGGTCAACATGATTCTGACATTACTTATCAGGTGCCTTGTACTCTATCAAATGTGAGTCTAACACGGTATGTAATAAATCATGTACGGTGATATAATTTGCCTAATACCATCAAACATGTGCTCCGTAGAACATTGCTCTTACCATGGCCAGCTGAACAGCCCATGCCTCATATATTTGACATGCTGAGCTTATTGAAAAACTACTTAAGCTACTTTTTTCTTCGATCCTTCTGTCAGAAAATGTATACCAGGAGACCGGTAGCCTTGAAGAAAATGTTGAACATACAATCCAAATGTTTACCATTAAGCTTTGTCTTCACTGAGGTTGGAACAGGCCAGATTGCTTATCTGTTAGCAGCAGACAGTTGACAGTGTTGGGGTAAATGTTCAGCATTTTCTGGTGCCGAGTTGCAAGGCAACAAATCTGTGTTCCCTACACTGAAAAACCTGAATATATGCTGGCCAAAGTCTGTTCTGCCCTTTCCTTTTTTCTTCAGGTGAACTCTGTCATGTGCTTGATCTGCACAGGCACCAGTTAATGAATGTTTGCAATTTATTAGTAACTGCCTTAGTTGTTCATGTTTCCACCCCATACGAAAGTACCGATTTGACATTCAAATGTAAAAAATTTAGGTTTAGTATTTCTTTTATTTTGACCTCCACGAATTCCCTAGTGCTATTAAAACTCCTCTTGCCTTTTGTATTTTTATTTTAATGTCTTTATCAGTTCCCCTGTCTTTATTTACATTATTGCCCAAATAGTTGTATGACTCCACGTCTTGGAGTCGGGTGCCATTAAGTGAAACCACATTACTATTTGTCTGATTTATTCTCATTATCTTTGTCTTTCCTTTATGGATTTTCAGACCAAGCTGCTTTGATCTCGCATTAAGTATATTTAATTTATCTTGCATCTGATTCCGTGAATGGGACAGAAGAGCAATATCATCAGCGAAGTCCAGATCATCAAGCTGTTTTGTAGGGGTCCACTGAATTCCATTCTTGGTGTTAGCAGTTACTGTCTTCATAATCCAGTCTATAGCCAGTAAAAATAGGAGAGGCAACAAAAGACATCTTTGTCGCATACCTGTTTTTATTTCAAATGTATCTGTTAGCTTTCCCTCATGAAGAACTAGACATTTCATGTCTTTATTCATTGCTTTTACTAAGTTAATAATTTTCTGTGGGATTCCATAGTGCCCCATCAATTTCCAGAGACACTCTGTATAAATGCTGTCAAATGCTTTTTCATAGTCTATGAATCTAATGTAAAGTGGTGAGTTCAGTTCAATGATTTGCTCTATTATTATATGTAATGCGGCTATCTGGTCAGTACAGGATCTGTTCGACCGAAAACCTGCCTATTCATCTCTTAGCTTTTTATCAATAGCATCTTTTAATCTTTCTAAAATAATTCTACTTAATATTTTTCCAGGAACCAGCAGCAACATAATTCCTCTATAGTTTTCACACTCCTGTTAGGTTAGTTTCATATCCTTTACAGGACGTTGCAGAACCAATCCCAACAGCCAAAGGCTGTTTTGTGGTTTTCTAGGCAAATTTACGTCCATTAGTTTGCCATTGCTTTCTGGACGGTCGGCTTTCTTGATACCACTGTCGAAACCAATGCACGGCGCATGGCCCGCACCTGGGATCGAACTCTGCATCCTGGCATTACGAAGCGTTCGCATCGACTTAGCCACATAGCCGACTCACACTACTGCATATCTCACCTTTTTTGGGCAGTTTCACAAAATATCCTTCTCTCCAGTCTGCTGGTATTTCTTCGGGCTCCCAGACTACTAAATAATCTATGTCAATTCTGTTGTGTTTATATTGGCCCTAATGGCTTCTGCTTGGATGCCATCTGGACCTGCCACCTTTCCTTCCTTGAGAAGATTGATAGCTTTTCTAATTTCCTCTTCAGATGGTATCTTACAGTTGATATCCTGTTTTATTTCTAAAAGCTGGATATTTGGAGGAACCTCTGAGCTTGTTTGTCTATTTAGAAGCATTTCACAATATTCAGCCCATCTGTCCTTTTGATCTTTAGTGTTAGCAAGTACATTTCCTTGAATATTTTTGATTGACCCAGTTGGCTGACTAAATTTACATACTAATTTTCTTGTGTTACTGTAAAGTTCTCTGAAGTTTCCTTTTGTTGCTACTGTCTCCGCTTTTTGTGCTAGATCATGTAAATATTTCACTTAATCTGCCCTTATACGCCTCCTAAAATCCTTATAGGCTTCTGTGTATTTCTCCTGAGCTCTAGCAGCTTTAGTTTAGCTATTGTTTAAGTCTGCCTTTTGACCTTTTCTTTCTTCAATAAATTTCGTGGTTTCTGGTGTTATCCACGCTTTATTTTTCCATTCTTTCTTGCCAAGAACTTCACAAGATTCATTCCAGATTCCATTGATCTGATCCCAGCAGCCTCCTGTGCTGACATCTTAAGTTTACTGCTGCAACACCTGGTACTTATTGGAGACCGTTACTTGAAATTGTTCCTTAACTTCTTTATCCCTGAGATAACCTACATTATACTGGTTTCCATGATTATAAGATGTTATATATCTTTAAAGTTTCAATTTGATTTTACTTACCACTAGAAAATGTTCAGTAAATACATCGGCACCTGTGAAAGCCCTAACAACATAAAGGGATGATCTAAACTTTTTGTTAATACATTGGTGATCAATGAACTCGATCTCTCATTATCTCGTCACTTACAAATATATAATGTAATGCTTACAGTTGAAACAACTGTTAATGTGAGTAAGGTATGAAAAACTTACCCATCATTATTGGGGGTCGAGGTGGCAGCATCATCATTCCAGCCATGCCGATAGGACCGCCCATCATAGGTGGTCGGGGCATCTGGGGGATCATAGTGGGTGGACGAAGCTGTTGCTGTGGCGGTTGCATTGGCGGAGGTGGAGGTGCCGCTAAGGTTGGTGTTGGCTGTGGAGGTGGTGGTGGAGGAACAGATGTGGATGTAACAGCAGGAGGAGGTGGTGGTAGTGGAGGAGCTGGTTTGGGAACTGCAGGTCCAATTTTCTCTTTCTCCTCATCATGCCTGAAAATACAAGTTTTATTATAGCCACAACTCTACTCTGACATAATGACTGTCAACGCAAATGTACAGCACAGATTATTGATTACTGAGGATCATCATCACAGAACGCTCGATCTCATGGGCAACATCTCCTGAAGTGTGAAAAAGCTGACCCTGTGTTGATTTACCAAGCATTATGTAGCCTTGATGCTATGTTGGATTTATGGGATTCCACCAGTGCAACTATATTATTTCTGCCAAATTAATGGTAGGCTTATGATCTTGACAGGGTTCGTAGCCAAATTCACCAATCAATTTCAAGGCTTTTTAAGGTTTTCTTATTATTTTTTCCAAGGTTGTCTCGAAGTAATACTGAGGTGTGGTATTTCTGCCTTGTTCAAGAGTGTACCCAAACACATGGTACTTCATTAGTTCGTACACATGTGGATATACCATCACAGCTATGTTTTTACATTTTTGTCCCTATACTTAGTGGCACAGGAGATCAAACTGAAGTCCTGTCTGTTCTAGACCTGGTAGCTGAAGGAGAGAGTCATACAGAGAGGGAGGAAGACGGATGCTGAAGTAAAGTGGGAGAGATGATGTGAAAGACAGAGAGGAAGACAAGTGGGGAAATAGGGACAGGCAGGTATAGATGGACAGAAAATACAGAAAGAGGGCGATGCAGACTGAGAGATGAGCAGATGAAGAGAGGAGGAAGAAGGGAAAGAAACAATTGAAAGGAGGAGAAAAAAATATGACAGAGAGGGAGGAAGATGCAAGCAGAGGGATAGTACAGAGAGGCAAACTTACAGAGGGAGAGAACCAAAGAGACAGAAAAAAGGCTGAGAATGGGAGGGAGGCAAACAAAGAGGAAATGATGGAGAGAGGCAAACCAACATAAAGCAAGAGAGAGAGAGAGAGAATACAGAGTAAAAAATATGCCAGAATTGCTTTCAAATATAAAAACACATCAAAGGGGGAAAAACACCAGCCTCGTGCTTCCACAACCATAACATAATTTCTTGTGTACTGGACACAACCACTAAGAAAAGAGTTATGGGGCAGCACAGCAAATGTGGGGAGGGGGGGGGGGAGAATGAGAGAGATGACAGCTAAGGAAATGTAGAAAAAATAAGACAGGATGGAGAGGTGACAAAGAAGAGGGGGCAGGAGGAGAGAACATAGTAAGAAGAGCAAGAGAGAACAGAGAAAGAAAAGGAAGAGAGGAAGGATGGAGAGAGAAAGAAGTGGAAGATCAGAAGAAAGAGAAGGGGTATGTGAAGAGAAGGAAGAAATTGGTGGGGGAAGGTAAGAACACTAAGCATCAAAAATAGAACTGGGAAATCTAAGTGATGTCACTATTCCAGTTTCCACCCTCACACAATGTCAATATGGTCCATAAACAACAGGTGCTGACCCATGGCCTACCTCAGTTTTGTGACTACAATAGTTTCATTTCTTACACTCAAGACTGGTGGACCCAACAGCTAAGGTCATTTCTTACAGAAAAGTTTCCACCTTCAACCCACGACTTTCCCATCCCTCACACTAGAAAAAAATCAAGACTTTCATGAAAAAAAACTTGTGGAAAATAGGTGGTACCAGTGAACTGTTTCATTTTTGATTATTCAAGTACAGAAAAGAGAAGGGGCAGAGGTGGTGTAGAAGGCTGAGACAGAAAGGGGGAGATAGAGGAGAATAGGAGAGAGAAAGAATAAAGATTTAGAAAAGAAAGTGGGGCTGAGACACCGAGAGAGAGACAGGTGCCATCACTGGAATGGCAAATTATTTTTTTTTTAAATTATACATATATTGAATGTGTATCGGGGAGGGGGATGTTTTGCAATGGGCAACATATAACCTTGCGACACCAACCGAAGGTACGGACAGAGAGAGAGAGAGAGAGAAAGTGAGGGATAGCAGCAAATACAAAGAGAAAGGAAGGCAGTGACAGACAGACGCAAATAGTCAGAGGGAGGTAAGTCAAAAATTTATGGGGCAGGTAGGGAGATAGACAGAAATTAAAAATAAGATTCAAACACCAGGGGCGCTAACAAAAATAACACATCAAAAGACAAAACCCATATCAAAAGAAATCTACCAAGTTACTAGAAAAAAAGTTACAAGCAGCAAAAATTGCAGGGGGGGGGGGGGGGGGCAGGGGGGAGGAAAGGAAAGGAAAGAGATAGAGAGAGAGAAGAAGAAGACTAGAGGAGAGAATGCAGGAGACAGGAAGGAGGGGGCAAGAGGTAGAAGAGTGAAAGACAGAAGGGGAGAGAAAAGGAGATGTGAGAGAAAAAAAGGAAGAGGGGGGGGGGGGGGGGGGGGGGGATCAGAATGCTGATGGCCAAACACACTGTAAAGATAGACCAGGCCAAAAATAGAATTGGGAAATCCAGTTGGTTTCATTTTGCCAGCACCGCTATTTTCTGGTGTAATCCTGGTTTCTAGAAACAAAAGGACTGCAAACATTTAAAATGCAGGTAACCGAAAATAGCCTTAATGCCAAAAATTGCAGGTCTTCCTGGGATAGTTTGTTTTTACTTTCAATCTTCCCATTGCGGCAAGCAAAATTTAAGGCAGACATATCTTTCCCAAGGTTAAAATCTAGGCTCTAGGTCAGGGCTACTTAACTTCTCAAGCAGTAATATATATATATTTTTTTGGACACAAAAATATTAGAAATTAGTTTTTAAATGATCTTTGCTCGCATTCACGCAGCACACAAACACAGAGAGAGAGAGAGAGATACATACATACATATAAAACTACTTACACAAGTCCCTTTGCCCTATGGATGGTAGCAATCTGCTCCTCAATGGAGATATTCTCCCTGGACAGCTGTGAGATCTTCTCAATGGAAGCAGTGTGGCCATCCCAGACCACTTTAGTATCCTTCTTTTCTTCCTCTCCAATCTGAAATAACACACAATTTACAAGTTAAAGACACACAGAGACTGTGCAACCAACTGAAATACTCTGTGATGTGTGCAAGAGTCATAAATAGTGATGTGTTAGACTGATAAGATACTCTGAGCTCTGTATTAAATTAATATACGTGATGCAGGTATCAATTCATATGGTAGTCATTGTATTATAAAATAATCTGCTTGAACATTAACTGAAAATACCAGGCCACCATCTTGTTATGCTGTATACATCACACATGACTCACAGTCTACTGCTCCATTCCGTTCTATCCTGTGCAATCTTTTTGATGTCAATGAGCACCTTTAGGCCTCTCCAATCTATCTGTCATCAAACCGTTAAATCAGTTCATAAAACATCAAGAATCAAAATAATATTAACACAAGCAACGCAACCAGCAAAAGACAGAAAACTACACCTGACTCCTCTCTGTGACACTTTATGGCATTAGCAGTAGGAAAAAAGAAAGGAAGAAAAAGCACTTGATGATGATCATGCACCATTTGCCTTAAGTGATCTTTTCGGTTTGTTATACATTCTGCGTTATATATGTACTTCTTTATTTGTTTGCCACAGATGACTCCTCAAAATGTATTAGACACGCTGTCTGTAGTACATATATATTGGATGTTTGTTTAAAATATATATATCCACCGATCCCCTTAACAGTCATGTTTGCATTATCTACCTAATACCCCCTATCTCTCTGATTTGGTCTGTGGTAGCCACTTTGTCTGCTTTATTACATAATGTACCAATGTGTGACAAGATATACAGATGCCATCTCATCTGTGGCTCACTGGTTGTGACAGAATGTTCATTATTCTGAAATACCGTGTAAATTCAGTTGCAGGTGTGCAAAGTCCTGTATAAGATATGCAACTAACTTTTTTTAAAATTAAATTACAGCTGAGCCTGAGTGGACAGCCACCATCACAGTACTCAGGACAGTCCCATAAGCACTTCGTCCCCATATTTAGCAGCAGGTAAAGAGTTCCAATTCTAATAGTATCAGTAGCAAGCAGACTAACTGTATGTCCTTCATGCCTTTCTTCTGAGTGCTAAGTGTCAGAAAATTTATAAAGATTATCCCAAACAACCACAGGACAACAAACAAAGAAAAACAAACTCAAAGATTAAACCTCACCTTTTTACCGATCTGAGTTTCCTCTGTACCAATACCAAAGATATCAGTACGTCTCTCTGCCAGCTGCTTCAAGTTGGAATCAATAGCAGAACCAGGGGCAAACACTTCCTCTTGGTCTGTTTTGTCTGCAATTGTTCGCTGGCGAACCTCCATCCATTTCGAATCCAGCAGACCTAATATGAACATATGCCAAAGATTCTTACTTTAGCACTTTGTCTATGGCATTTTTTTTTTTAAATAACAACCAGGCAAGTGATATATGTCAGACTCCATAGAGGACATTGTAAAGTACAGTAGAAAAGGGCCTTTTTTATGCCAGTAGTGGATTAGGTATTTAGTGCCAGATCAGTATTCTTTATAAACCAATTAGCACTCAATGCCGGCCACCTTTCTTTCCAGGACGTTTTCTAGCACTTCTTTCAGATGGGGTTGTCATGGGAACCATGGTCCCAAAACTGCAACTCAAAGCAGATTAAAAACACAGAACATAACAAGCGGAAATAATCTCTAGGCATTTGAAATATGGATGTGTTAACTCTGAGATGAGAAACAGTGGTGACTAAACATTTGCTGCAAACACTGTCCAACATAAGCAGAACAGAGGCAATGATTCAGCTTATATCTTCTCCATAATTTCAAGACGACTGCCAAAGTGAAGTTGATTTTTGAAAGTATGTGAAGAAGAATGACAGTCAGATTCCACCATTTTAAAGTGGAGGTTCTGAGACTCCATTGTGGAGAGGAGTCATGAAAGACCTACTATTATTTAACAAGCATGCTGTCAAAGGTGACCAATTTGGTGTTTGAATAAAAGGCTGAAAGGCAGATATCACAGCTTAGATACATTACAATACAGCATGCTAACTACCCCCTTTAAGGGTCGAGGCAGAAGCAAAATATTGAGGCGATGCATTCTAATTGATTTGCTAGCCATGAACTTGACTCTTTCAGTTTGGACACATGTTTTGTCAACTCTTCAAAGCATATCTGATGGAGTGCAAATGAACTCACCAATTCGCATATGTTCCTGAACTTTGTGAGCAGGGATCTTTTCTCCAGTGATGGGAGAGATCATGTACTGATCTGCACTGGGTCCTGATGGTGGTGCTGGCTTCACTGAAAATGAATAAACGGATATTATTAAAAATGAATTAAATGCATACAAGGTGAAACTGGAAGCTTGAGGAGATAGAAAGACAAAAGAAATATGCTTAGAAACTGAACGTTTGGAATATGGTATTTTTGATCGGTCATCATAAGATGAATTCTAAACGACAGCCCCACAAAGAACAGAATTAAAACAGGGATTATAACAGAATACGAAAGATAAAAACAAGAACTGAGGCCAGCTTAACTGCATTCCTAACTATTTTCAGCACTTTTAGATACTTTTACTAAATAAATAACAGTTGTATATGTACAGCTAGCTCACTGTCTGCAGATATGGAACTGAAGTTAAATGCATATGAAAAAAAATGAACATAAATGGGATGAAAGAGGAGATCACAGAAATAATGTCTGAAAAATATGTGTATTAACTGCAATAAGACAAAGAAGGTGGAGATGCACTGGACACTCTAAGGGAGGGGAAAAGGGGGGGGGGGGGGGGGGAGCGAGCGGTTGGGTGTAGTTTCATAATTTAGAATTAAAGATTAACTGTAACCATCTTCTGCCTCTATGTATAATTAGCTTTAAGGTTGTATTCCAACAATAAAAGAATAAAAAATAATTATTTGTAAGACTAGAGCAGTTAAAGAATATGAAAGTTGTAGCTAAACAAAGAATTTGTAAAGTTGTGGCTAAATAAAGAGACAACTATTTTTTAAGTCGCAGCCGAACAAAGAGAGAGAGAGAGAATATCAACAACTGTTTGTAGGGTTGCAGATGAATACAGTAAAAGAATATAAATGCTTGTTTTTATGTTTACCTTTTGCACTCAGAAAGGAAAATTTTTTTTTTTTTTAATATTTTTTAGGCTCAGTCTTAGAAAGAATAAAATAATGACAATCTGTTTCCATACCTTTAGGATCGTAATCCTTCTTGATGATAACCTGCTCTGGTGTGGGTGGCAGAGGAGGAGGGGGTGCTTCTGCAGGAGGTGGGGGCGGAGGTGGTGGTAGTGGTGCAACTCTTTCATCTATATCTTCTTCCTCCTCCTCTTCATCCTCTTCCTCTGAGCTCTCTGATGATGCCTCTACTTCCTGCTGCAAGAGAGGGACATCAGTTAGATATGACAGTGATAATGTAAAAGGATGACAGACAATCCATTTGAATGATTAAGTTTATTGACAAGGGGACATCAGTTACAGATATAACATGACGACAATGTCAACAGATGACAAACATGCCTTATTAAATGTGTATGTGTGTTTTGCACACATGTACTTTATATAGTATGTGCCCTACATACATCACTTCACCAGCTTTGTGTCATATCACTTGCATATACAAAATACATGGACTCCCTGTGTGGGGGTTCTGGGGCCCCATTGTTAGGGATAAAAAATAATAGCCAGTGCCCCCCCCCCCCCCCCCCCCCCCAGATTAACTCTGAGTCCCAAGGAACGCATCATGCGTTCCTACTTAGAAGCCCAATGAACGCATGATGCACCAATTTTATTACTTTCTTTACTACCCCCTGAGCCTGTGATGCTAAACCCCCTGGGACTCAAAGAGTTAAGAGTTGACTAATAAGGGGTGTTTCCCTCAAAGTCTGAATGCATCTGCCTGAGAGATGAGGAACCAACAGTCTGCACATACATTTGCCAGATCTGTAAAATTATTTTTACATACAAAACTTTGGGGCAAAATCAAAGTGGACAAACAACCAGAAATTTCCACTGGGGTTTACAGCTGGTGAATGCTAAGAAGAATACTTAGACCAGAAACAGACATCCCTACCCCAACCCAAAGAAAACCTTATGTGCGTCATGTCCTTATCTGTATGGTGAATATTCAATTGTCTTTGCTGCTTTGTATTACCACTTTGTGGGGGGTGGTGTAGAATTTCTTAGCCTGAGGATTTGAGGTGATATGGCTAGAGCAGCTGTCATGGATTATGCAGGTTAGGACCGTATGTCTGTCTCTGTCAGGAAAAAGTCCAACACCTTACCGAGGATTCAAAATTGGGTTTCCATGTAGTATATCTTTTTTAAACTGTTAATTAATCATAAACTATCGCTGGAAATATTCTGGTGGTTAATTGACACGAGGGCTACTACTTCTATCACTTCTCTTAGTCATGACTGGACTGTGAGACATTACATCAGTTTCTTAGATGTGCCTGTTCATGCAAAATACCCAGATTTGGATATGATGTTTGATGGAGCAGAAACACTGGAGAACCACTTTAATAATTACTAATAAACTACAAACAGTAACTAGTACCTCCAGAAGAAAAGAATTAAATGAAATAAAAGGCTCACAAAAAATGAACTTTTCAGAGATAATTAAATAGATTCCAGTGAATTATCAAATAGTAGAAAAGAGACAACCATACCCATCGAAATTTATTGAGAAGCAAAGAATGAAATGGTTTGGTCACCTAATGAGAATGGAACCAACGATGCCAGCATCAAGAGCATACAACATGAAAATCAAAACACCAAGAGGCAGGGGAAGACCAAGAAGAAGATGGATTGAAGGAGTCACGGACAACTTGAGACTTCATAACATCACAGCATATGAAGCGACTGAGCGCGCCCTGGCACGGTTGCCGATCTTCTGATAGACTGCGACGCCTAGCGGCACAAGCAGATTTTGACAAAAGAAGAATAAGAAAAGAGACAGTGGTACTGGGCAGCGCACATTAATAAACATTGATAAGTAAATTTGTCTTTGCACTGGAATAAAGCCAAAGAAGTAAAGATACGAAGAGAAGAAAAAAATGTTCACAAGGAAAAGGGAATTAGTGACAAAGGTGAATAAGATGGGCTAAGATTACCAGATTATTTTTACTACTATTATACATTATCACTATTATTTTTTAGCCTTCATTAATTTTTTTCTATTCCCCCCCCCCCCCTTTCTCTTCCTATTTTTTTTATTTAAATAGCTTTCTGTGTGACCCCTCATTCGGGTACTGGTGGTTGAAGTACTTCCCCCTTTGTTTTTGTTATGAAGTGCATGTAAAGAGGACCGAAACGGTAATTTGTGTATATTTTTCCTTTTATCTCTTTGGTTAATCTTTTTAGTCTCAGTTCACTAGATTAATTAATGACATGATGAACAAGGAGAAGAAACATATACTGCTACTGAGAGGTTGCCAAGATGCGGCTGAATTTCCATGAGCACTGTAACAAAATCATTATACAGCTACAGCATCACATCTACCAGCTTTTTCCTTTCCCTTTAGTTAGAAGTGAAGGTTGTGAGGGTAAGTAACTGGCCAGCCTTATGGCTGTACCTGCTATGAGATTATTAATCTTTACATTACATTACTGTTGCAACGACCTGTTTTAACAAATAAACAACTGAATTACAAATAATTATTTGTTCTAGAATTATTACAAGAAAAATTAGACAGAATGTACAAGTCAACATACAACCAAGAAAAGTCTGCTTCTTCTTCTACCGGTTGTAATCTACCGTGGAATGTCCTGGTTGTTTGTCCATTCTGGCACGCCCCCCCCCCCCTCCCCACCCCTTCCAATGTGGACACCAGCACACACACACAATAGGAAAAAATTACCAGAAATAGACGGACATGAAACAAAAGCAGAAACCTAAAACACTAACCTGTCGAGGAGTTTCCTCTGGTGCTTTGCTTGTCTTCACAGTTTCCTCTTCTTCCTCCTCCTCTTCTGATTCTTCTTCAGACTCCTCGCCTTCTGATTCTACCTCCATTTCAACTGCATCATCCATCTAAAAGAACAGCAGACATTTTAATATAATAAATCAGCACAAGCACTTCTAATTAAATAGTAAAGCTGTTTATAAACAAATAATCAGAGGTTATTTATAAACTGTTCAGCTTTTAGTAGACAATCTGTAAAATTATTTTAATTAATTCTAAGTAGTTCAGGCATGCAAGCAAAGCATTTTTAAATAAGCAATCAGTTACTAAACAATCAGCAGTTATTTATAAACAGCTATCCAACTATCTTGAAGTACATCACTACCTTATATTTAAGACCAGAACAATTAAAATGTTACTCTTTACAACACAAAACATGTCTCAACTCACCGGTGCACCTCCGCTGGCAAATCTCTCCATCTGTAATATTCTTGCTCCAACTTCCTCTGGTGTTGTGGGAGGTGGCAGGTTACCTACATAGGAGAAATAAAAGCATACAATTCCACAGCTGTAATAGTCTAAGTACACAGCATATCATATTAAGAAAGCACAGTCTAACATATAAATATCAATGATCCCTGCCAGATTGTCTTTAAGAGTTATATAGCACAAAGTTCAAATGTAACCAATTGACTTTTTTTAAAAACATGCGTTCCTTATGTTACGTAAATTCTGAATTAGACCACAATACTGCACTGAAAGTGTCGCAACACATAAAAAAATGAATGCTGGATTATTTTCAAGTCTCATGAAAAATTGCAAAGGTGTAACTTAGTGGTTATGGTTATACACGTCAGTACTGTAAAATGTTTTGTTTCAGGACACCCCCCCCCCCCCACACACACAAAAATTTAGGGCCCTTTTCCATGCCTTCAGGCATATTGAGCAAACAAAACTTATATTTTTATAGACCGATCAGCAGTTGGTGGGTGATGTGGTCAGTATCACACCTGCCACCTTTACGACATCTAGCCGCTACACCCTTTGTGTTCTGTTACCTAACTAAAATTATACAAGTGATGAAAATAACAAAGAAAACATATTTTGATAGAGATGGGCAGTATAAATATTATTTATGTACAAAACATTACCGCAGAGAAGAAAACAGCAGCCCATGCAAAACATTATTGTCTCAGGGTAAGTAATTACCGAGAAATTATTGAAAAAAGAACAGCATGAATATTCACTATAAGTGCTAAGTTTTGTAGGTAACTAAGCACCCAATACAACATAAACTATGACTACAAAACTCTAAAGAGGGAATAGAAAAATAAACACACTGATACAAATGAATGTTTCAACCAAAGACTTTATCAATGAAGAACTAAATAAATACAATACAAACTGTGACTTGAAAACTCAACGGACAAGACAAGAGAGCTTATAAACAACCACAGTCAACATAAAACCAGAAGTAATAGAAGAAAGTATGCACACAAACGACTAAAAAGTACTAAATACAGCACAAACTGAAATTAAAGGTGTGCTAGTGGTGGTGGTGTAGGGAGGGAGTGGGTAGGCGGACATCACCAGCAAGATAGTTACAGTCAACGTCCTTCACATGAGAGAAAACTGTTCTTTTATCAACAAACACAAACTAGCTTCCAAAAATGACATTTGTAAACGAAACAAACTACTAAGCCACAAATGTCTTATCTGCCTTACCAATCTCTGTAGGCTGGAAATCTACCGTCTCCACCACCACAAAGTCATGCCAGTCAATCTGAGCATAGGCCACTGCAAATGAACATTTTATTTAGTTAGATTCACACAAAGATTCAGACTGAGCTAGCAAATATATGTCTTTTAAAAACCTGCATTGGTTTCAACAGCAGTGCTGACAGCCGATTTCAGAAAGCAATGACAAACTACTGAATGTAAACTTGTGTAGTAAAATCCTCAACAGATAAAAATAATATGCTGGAGATGGCTCTGTAATGTCCTGTAAAGGTCAGGCCACTAACTTTATGTAACATGAAGTTGTACATGATCTATTTTACTGCATGGTTAAAAAAAAAAAATCCCATACAGCTCTCTCTCTATACACGAACAGTACGTTACCTGCTGAAAGCACTGGGACAAAGCACAAATTCCACAGCTTCACAATGATCTGTAGATATCTCCATAAAAACACAACTAGAGAACCTAATGATCCAGTTTATTAAATGAACTCATGACCTTCAGAGAACCAACCACAACCAATCCTTGTTCCCTCGTATCACATGCAGGGTGGTTTATGGTTTACTGCACGGTGGTTTACGTTCTTAAAAAACCTGTGACCAGCGGACTGACAATGGTTTGCAGAAATTCCCTGCAGGTCCTCCCAAACTGCCGACCCAATCATGAGTTAATAAATAAAATGCTCTCAAAATGTTTGTTTTTGTGACTGCCTTAGCCATCAGCCTGTCCAAAAAATATTGATATTTTCTTATACCTCATGTGTAAAGTACACCTGTTTTTAACGTTACTATTCAGTGCTTTCTCTGTAGGCCCAACAGACAGGAAGTAGCTAGATGTACACTTACAAGTCTGTTCACTTTAACCAAATCCTTTTCTTTTGTCAATATTTGCTTATGCCGCTAGACGCTGCAGTTCATCAGACGATTAGCAGCCGAAGCTAGGGTGCGCTCGGTCGCCATATGCCGTGATGTTATGCAGTCTCAAGCTGTCAGTGACTCCAATTCATCTTTTTCACTGTCTTCTCCTGTCTCTTGGTGTTTTTATTTTCAGGTTGTATGCTCTTGCTGCTGGCATCTCTGGTTTCAATCTTATTAGATGGCCAAACCATTTTATTCTTTGTTTCTCAATAAATTTGACGATGGTTGTTTCAACAGTTTTTGTGATCACGTTGTTTCTCACCCGACCTCTTCTAGTTGTATTCACGGCCATTCTCAAACATCTCACAGGTGGTTAGTTTTTTCTACTACTAACAATTTCTAAGATTTCAAAGAAAGTGAAATACTTCATTAAAATTTTAAAGTATAACAATCCTGGAAATAATAAAATGATGCCCGGCCAAAAAAGAAATTCAAACTGATAATTTGTCACTAACATCATATGCCCTGCTGAAAAGTATAGGTTTTCATGTTTCAAAATCAAATTAAGGACGACAGCAGAACCTCTATAAGTTGACAACAAAAGAGACTAGCAAAACCGGTGAACTTACGGAGGTGGTCAATAAGACCTATTGTACTGACACATACTTCTAGAATTTATAAGAGAGATTACAGAATCATTTAAATCATACATAACCACATCTAACCATATCATCAACAAGTTTTTCATGATTTAATCATTTTTTTTTTACCTGGGTGCTCAAGACCCTTGAGCCGCCCCCTTTCATGTTTTCTCTTGGTGGCATCCCCTGGATCAAACAAACCACACCGAACCCTTGTACTCTGTAACTGCGGCAAATGCACACAAAGATACCGCTGCTTACGACCAGCTAGTTGGCTTATCTTGTTCGTCCATCATAAGTGATCATGACCACTCTTTCTTCCATCCTTCATGTCTACTGAGTGTGCCCTGTGTGTGTTCCAGAGCTTTTTTTTTCAGAACAAAGAACAAACTCACTGCCCTCCTAAAAAAGATTGTCATACAAGGCGACCAATTAGGGGTGCATTTACCTGAGGCAAGGAACCTATAGTCTGCAAATAAATAAGCAGCATCTGTAAAATGAATGTGCACGCAACTTCATGGACAAAGTTCTGAAACAAGACCAACACCCAGGAGCGAACAACCAGAACTTTCAGAGTTTACAGCCGGTGAATACTAAGAAGAATAATTGTGTATCATATTCTGGGTTCCTCTTGTAGGTTTCGGGACCCAAATGTAGAAAAAACAAGAATACACTCACTGTCCCTCCAACAAGCATGTCATAACAGTTGACCAATTGGAGGGCTTCCTCTAAAGTTGCAGCACATCCACCCGAGAGGCAAGGAACCAACAATCTAGATACAAATAAGTTAGATTTGTAAAAAGGAAGTGGGCGCAACATTCTAGTTCTGGAACAAAGCTAAATCCAGAGGTGGAGGAACAGGCAGAAATTTCTGCCAGAACATTTAGAGGTCAGTGATCCACGGCGAAAATGTGGTGCCTGCCCAATCAAGGAAAATAGGGAGGTGGACAATTTTGGAGGTTCTACTGTAGGATTTAACAACTATATGGGTATCAAGGATCACATGAAGCACAAATTCATAACTAATTCAACTGTCCTCTAGCACCACAAGTGTTTAGAACTATAAACAAAGAAAAAAGGACTATGCAAATTGATGTATTTATTATTTAATATACAAGCTATAATGTTAGTTACCATAACAGATGCCATATCCAAGAACAACTGACACAAAAACAAGAGGGAGCCCAAGAAGAGGATTTATGATATGCAATCAGACAGAATGGCAAGAGCCAGTGTCACCTATCATATGCCAAACCATCAACTATTCTCCCCCATGATGTGGAAGATGATTCTTACAAGTGTCCCAGCAATGTTTCCATGTCGTAAATTTTAACAAAGAAGCCGCAAACAATAGGCAGACAGATGTATCATGACTGCTTCCATCCAGAGACAAAAAAAGGCGGACGCAAATCTGTGTTCGCCCAGGTAAAACAGGCAGATTCTTTACATAGCTGATGTATTTCAGTTAAAAGGATTCTTTTGTTTACTTCATTGTATTTAGCTGTTGCATCCATTGTTTGTTGAAAGGTGATTAGTGTCTTGCATCAGCAAATGTCTGTCCCAAAGGTGCTGCCCAGGGAAACAACTAGGTTTCAATTGTCTCATTAAACAATGTGAAGAGGTTTCTATCATTGAAAACTGTCAATGCTGCCACTGATAAATCTATAACTTATTAAATTTTACCTCTTTCTTTTTCAAGTGCCTCTTCTTCCTTCTTCTTCTCCTTTTCTTGATGCTTAGCCCACTCAACTCTGTATTTTACTTGATCCAGAATCTGAAATTACCAATGTGAAAATTCTGATGAGAAAAGATTATGATCGTTTTACACTTCCACAACTTTCTATGCATGAATGTTTCCCTTTTCTGCTTTTGTCCTTAAAAGGGCAGTTTGGCATGTTGTGTTGTCGTTTACAGCTAGACTGTGATATCTGCGTCTTATCGGCCAACACAACCAATTTCAGCAATCTTATTTAGCTGCCTCTTACAAAAGGCTCGTAAGGGGCAGTGAGTGGATTCTTGTTGCCCTTAACTGGAACCCCAAAACACTCAATGGGATCTATGCATGAATATTTTATCATAGAATAAATTATCCATAATTATGGCTAGAACGTCGGCTGAGCCTCATAAAAATAGATACCAGAAAATGCCCAGACATTTTTGGGAAGTGTCTGGACAAGAAAGGCAACCCAAAAAAAAAGGAAACGGGCACACTTCGTCACAATATGCCTATATATATCTAAAAGTAGCATCAGCTACATGGGACTTTTTTTAACCTTTAATGAACCCTTTCAAAACTGCCGTGTGGGTTTCAGTAAGCTAAAAAGTGTACATTTAATCGGGTGCCATCTCTATAGGAAAGCTTGGTTGCAATGGATCTCCAATATGCTCTGTCTTACAAACTGGATATACACTGTCCCAGACTGCTGTTAATTCAGATCTTGATGTTATCCTCCCATCAGTACAGCTTTCTACCTCTTGCTCACTTGCCTCACACTTTTCCATGAGTATGGGTTTTATCAGAAAGCTGTCTGTTAACATGGCTGAAATATTTCACTTGTCTCTTATTTCCATAAGCAGCTCTCTTCATTCCAAGTCTAGAACGCATATATCTGACACTAACACAATACAATTTTACTAATGTAGTTCCTGATCTGTCTGGAATAAGAACACCCATTTACCCTGTTCTAGAAGTAGCTGTGAGCCAACATCCAGTATCTTCTTCCTCTTCTTCTTCTCTTCTAGCACTTATCTCATCAAGGTGTTGGAGGGAAATTGTGAGGATCATTTGTGCGATTTTCCCAATGCATTGTACAAGTTGGTGTTTATTTCTGTTAGGTTACTCTTGATGATGTCGCTTCATCTCGTGTGTGGTCTTCCCCTTGCTCTGTGTGCATTACACTACCATCAAAAACATCACACCTTCTTCTTCTCTTCCTCCAGTTACCACAGAAGCATGGGGAAAAGATGTAAAGATCTTCTGTGTGCTGTTTTAATGCACTGTATAAATTTAGTTCCTTTATGGCTGTTTTGATTACTTTAGTGATGTCATAATTTCCACTTTTCTGTTTTGTTTTTCATTACATTTCTTCTGAGCCTGCTGGTACCAGGGCATTCTTTTCAGATAGCCATTATAGAGGAATGTGAATGGTTTCATATTTCCTCAGATCCTGTGTGGAAAATCATTCCCACTACGGCCCAGGTGAAAGCTTCTCTGTCCCTTGCCAATATTCGTGTTTGATATACTTCATGGCCAAGTATTTCCAATATCCAGTGTCACCTTTGTGCCAAATGAACTTACCTCCCTTTTTAGCATTTCCTTTTTTTGTGTGTGTCAGTATTTCACCTTCTGAGGCATGATGCTGTTTATGTGCCAGTTTTCTTCAACGTTTAATACTTCTAGAATATAAGTATTTTTCTCCACGTTCTTGTATGAATGATGATAATAGACAAGACAAAAATGAAAAACTTACTTCCTTCGGGTGGTTGACTTCCTTAGTCAATTTCTCTTTCAGATTCTTCGGTGGAATGAGGATCTAAGAAAACAAAAATACAATTTAAAATCAAAAGGAGACTGTCAGAAATTATTAATTTTTTTTTAAATCTCAAAATAAATCTAAAAAATTCAGGTGTTTTTATTTAGAACTTTATATTTTCTAAAAAAAAATGCTACATATAATGCCTAAAACAGCTCAATCTGAAGATTGATCTAAGACAAGCCTTTTCTTCTTCTTCGTCGCATTCACCAGCGGTACACTCTGAACTGCAATCCTGCTCCAGAACCTGAGTGTTGCATGTGCATCAGTTTTACAGATCTCATTCTCTTGAATACAGACTGTTGGTTCCTTGCCTCTCCGGCACATGCACTCCCGACTTCAAAGGAAGCTCCCCAATTAGTCGACTCTTACGAAATGCTTAAGGGAGGCAGTGGGTTTATTCTTGTTTTTCCCACAATGGGGCCCCGGAACCCACACGGGGGTAAGACAAGTCTAAAACAATACTTTTGTAAAGGAAATATTCTAGTTTAAACAATCAAACTACAGAACAAGGCCATACACATGAAAACACCAACACATCCTTATACTGAACCAGGAAAATGTTCCACCCTTTAACCAAACAATATCACCAACAATTATATGTTTCTTTACTCAACCTGGAAATTGCCTTACTCTTTAACCAAACACGCCAGTTGTACATATATGTTGTGATATTGTAAGACACCCATAAAGCATGTGGAAAAAGATGGAGAAAGCATGTTCTGTCAGAGTGGCAAGCATCACTTCAAAGAAGGTCCCTGGTGATTAGTGTTCTTCGGATATTTTTCTAGGGGATGCTGGTGTGCTAGGAAACAAACGGGCAGACTGGCTGGTGCTGCACCACTGAGTGGTGACTAGAAGCATGACAAGCTAGATGTAATCAAGTGGGAGCAAGTCAGCAATGGAGAAGTGCCAACAGATCATTACGGTGTGGAGAGAGAGAATAGCGCAGCAGGGAGTGACCAGGGGATCTGGCTGACATTCTCCACTCAGAGGAAAGGCAAGATGGGCATTTATCAAACTGCTAATGGTGCCATCAGAATTTGAACTCTTTGCCGATTGCTGAAGATGAGGATGAAGCGCACACTGAAAAGTTCTGAGTGCTATGGTGCTGGTTTTTACCTTAACTGAATTCAACCAAAGACAACATTACTGATTATTGATACTGAAGGAGATAAACCAAATACATTCTCATACTTATCAACCATAAGTGTGTGTGTTTGCTCTAGTCAGAGTAAAATCTACAAACAAATAATACTCACTTTGGTATACTGCTCCACAAGTTTGGTGAAGTAAGTAAAGAGACTATGCTGTGGACGCAGGAAGTCAAACAGGAAATTCTTCTGCTCTTTTTGCATTACTGTGGTAAGGAACTGACGCCCATTCCTGGCAACAAATTGTGCTGTCAGCTTCACCACATCTCTGTGAAATAACAAACAACACATACACAGTATCAGTAAACACAGCAACATTCGCTTTCAGTATGATGCAGTCATCTGAAATGATACATCTGGAATATGCCAAAAACAAGTAGCTCAACAACTTTGAGACTACCAGTTAATCAGATGCCATTATTATAAAGTTAAAGTCAAGAGGATCAGCTTCATTGCACCGGGGTTTCACCATATAGCTCATTTATTCTGACTAGCCGCATGCCGATGACATCGCACAAAGCATTAACTCTGTAGCTTTGGTGACAATCTCATTTACCTCTGTAAAACTATTACTTGTGAACATGACAATCTCATGACCTCTTTAAAACTGTTACTTGTGAACTGAGTGACACAGCTGTGAAATGAACCCTTGACCTTCAGAGCGTGAGGCAAATAGCTTGACCACTTAATCAGGGAAACTACCTGCCAACAGTTGTACCCTCAAACTTCTTAGGACCTATAGTGTCTCCACAATAACAAAAATAACCCTGTAAAGCCTCTTTGAAAAATAATATTGATAAATCTTAATTGCAATGTTCTTTATCTTTAATGTAATGAGTTTCATTTTCCAACTGATGGCCAAATATTTTCAAAGATCAAGTTACTGTGAAACACCTATACCTGAGTTACATTTATGTAAATGAGATAATGACAGAATATGTATCCATTTCACTATTCAAAAGTGTCTGTTTTCCGCAGGGATTATGTTTAAAATGCATGCAGTTTTGCAAAGTCCGCTTCACTCTATTTCCTGTAAACATTTCCTGCTGTTTATTTGCTCTGAATCAGTGTCTGTTTCTCATATAACACAAACAAGGCACACACAAAAAACATTTTTCACAATAATTTTTCCCACAAGGACATGATTATTAACAGTTTGCATGCCAAATTTCAATAATTTACACAGAACGGTTACTGTGCTACAGATGTTCAAAGGTTGCCACGACTTCTGGAATGCAATATTGGTAGGAGGTTGGAGTCTTTTGAAAGTGATGCTAAAAATGTTTTTTAATTCAACATGCAAATATAATCATATATGCAAATCTAAGACAATATCATAATCATGTGCCTGGCCGATGAGCATTAGGTGGTCATGTTTTGCCAGCCCACATGATCACCAGTCACAAATCAAGTAAGAACCCTTGTTTTACCCTATCTATTGGCCTGTTTCATTAGTCCACAATTAAAAAATAAAAGAGTGCATATGAGTTTAAAATAAGCCTGTAAATTAACAAATGTAAGTAAGTATAAGGCAGTCATGAAATTTGGTCTGCATACAACCCATAACAACCCCCCGGTGATTAACAAACATACTTACAAGTCAAAGGCGGAGATTGAAGGTGGGTCACACATGAACTCATATTCAGGAGGTGGGTCTTTGGGCACAAATATTTCCACAATCTTTGGGGTTTCCTGTGGGCGCAGCACACCAAGGTACTGGCTCTGCTGCAAATTTGGAAAACAGGAAAAAAGTAGTAACCATAGAAAAGAATTTCAATTCTTTCAAATAAAACTGTTTTAGTATCAACTAGTGATTATTTTTGTGTGTGAAATGTCATAGCATTTTCACAATAAACATAGGTAAGCATGTTAACCATCTTATATGAATACCAGAATCACATTATCAGTGCTCCCGTCTCACCAATCCATATATTTATCTTTCTGATTTCCCCTTGCCCTTTCCCACCAATCTTGCTAGTTGTAATTGAGTTCCTGTACAATTCCTACTCAGAGCATGTCCACACACAAGCAAAACACTGACTGTCTTTGTCTAGTTTACAGTTTCATCTCTTGATTTGATTTGATTCAAGAACCGACATCACAGCACTCGGGGCATTCCCATAAGCGCTCAGTCCCCATCTTCAGCAGCCAGCGAAGAGTTCCGATACTAATAGTGCCAGTAGCTTTTTTATTAAACGTCCGTCTTGCCATTCCTGAGCCTTGAGCGTCTGCCAGAACCTCTCGTCACCCCCAACTGCATCAATCTCACCAGACTGTGGTGATCCATCTGCTCCTCTGCATTGTACACGCTCTCCCACAAGGCACTAACCACGTCTGCCCTATCACCAAGTTGTGCAGAGCCAGCCAGTCTGTCCGCCTGTTCATTTCCCAACACTCCTCACTCGTGTAGTTTCATCTCTTTCAAGCAGGACTGCCTTGTTTCTTTTTCTATCATCCAATGGCATTTTTTAAATTCTTCACAAAAGCTAAATCTCCACTGTGAGCGGTTGTTTATCAACTTGTCTGCTTAGTGCTCATGTGCATATAAGAAAATATGTTAGATATAGTACTTTGCGTTTTTCTCAGACACATTTCTTATCTTCTTTTCATGTGTTGTGTTATTCAAGTCATGGTTATTTGTGAGCTCCAAATATTGTATATCATGTTTAAGAAAGTGTGGAAGTGACTGAAAGAGTTAATAAAAGTAAATGCAGCACTCTAGTTAGGCAAATGTAGTCAGTTTAGGTAAATGTAAAAAGTGAAACAATAATATAACTAGCAGTAATATGTTTATTCTGGCGTCTGTGGCTAAGGCGTTGCGAACACGCTTTGCAATGTAGGAATGCCGGGTTCGATTCCAGCTGCGGGCCTTCAGCCTTGTGTTGGTTTCGACAGTGGTATCGGGAAACAGACCATCCAGAAAGCAATGGCAAACTACTGGACGTAAATTTGCCTAGAAAAATCACAACAGCCAAAAAATGCTGGGGTTGGTTCTGCAACGTCCTGTGAAGGATACGCAACTAAAATTTTTTTTTACTGCTTTTAGAAATATGAAACCCGCATTTGGACAGAGCCTAGTATTCAAACAGTCTGTCAACAGTGATACTGAAAGCTACGGAGAGTGAAGGGGTGGATGACTGTACAGGGAACGTCCAACATCCTCAATATGGCCCTGCCTGTAGCCTAACTGCCACCATGTTGTGAAGTGTTAGGCCGCAGCAAATGTGGAAGGTGACCAGTTCCCTTTCCTCATTGCTTTTCCGAAAATTGTCTGGTACATTTTTAGGAGACCAAAGCCATGCTTGTCATGGAGTCAAGAAAAATCCTGCTACTTTTTGGATTGAACCTAAGCTTCTTTCTTGTCAGGTAAGTGCATTGGCCCCTACCATGTGTAACTGCCGTCTTTTTCTTTTTTCTCTTTGTTCACCGGATGTAAGCTCCAGCAGAAATCCTGGTTGTTCATCCATTTGGACTTTGTGCCAGGGCCTGAGTTTTGCGCGTACATCTGTTTTACTGGCATATTTGTGTGCAGTTGCTTGTTCCCTGCAGCTTGGACAGATGCACTCCAACTTCGAAGGAACCTCCCAATTAGTCGTCTTCTACAACATGCTTGTTGGGGAATCAGTGGGTATATTCTTGCTTTCCCCACAATGGGGCACTGGAACCCACGGTTGTGAATAACTGCAGTCAAACACAAACTTTTTAACTAATTTTTTTTTCAGCCCTAGCTGTTTTCAAACACCCTTGCCTTATCCTCATATTAACTGTTTTTGTTCTGACCTCAAACGTGTCTTTTTGAGTATTCTTTCTTCGTAACTGAATCACTGTCAGCTTTAGCAATATCTGATGAAAGCTTTCTAGCAGCACAGTTCATTTATTGCTCAAACTTATGAAAATGTATAGCTAACTGGATATTACTGAGTTCAAATGTCTGGGTCAGATGTCGACGAGCTAGTGCACATTTATTCCAACTGACACAGTTATTAAGATATCCAAACATCAGTGTCAGTGCCTAGAAACAGATCATAAGCAGGATGTTCATACCACTATATTGCTACCAGCGCCAGACTTGAACATTATCAAAGGCTAACTTATGTTAATAACATAAAAAGCCGCCAACTTTACAATTCGATACAAATTTCAAAATAATGGGAACCACACAATGCAACAAATTCATCAAGAAACATAAGATAAAATGGTTTTATCATTAAATAAGAATGCAGCCAGAACAACTACCAAGGCAAGCGATAAACAGGAAAAGACCCGATGTGAAAAGCAAGAGGTCACCCTAGCAGAACATGGAATGATGACATTAAAGAGCTTCTCCATCGACAAGGAATGACAACAGCCACTGCTGCCCATCGAACAATGGATTGCAAATGTCGCTCTCCAAGTCAGAAGCAGAAGTGGAAATTGATGATGACTATCTAGGTCACAAAAGCAAAAGTATTAAAGACGAGAGCTGCACATTAGAAATGTGTGACTAAAAAAAAAATAAACGACATCTAAAACAAAGTGATTTCTTACCTTTGGTGCCTGTGGCTCCAGAGCTATTTAAAAAGAACAGAATCACAATATGTTAAATGTCTTAACAACTTAGTCTGCAGGCTTTATGCTTGTGTAGACAACAAAGAGAGAAAAGAAACAATTTTCACAACTCAATCAGAAGGGGTGTGAAAAATTTGTGAGTGTATGTTCATGTAGATAATAAGGAGAGACAAGAAATGATATTACGAGTGTAACATCCTATTCTTCAAGTCTATATTCTTTTAGACAATATGAAGAGAAAGTAAAATAGAAAAAAAATTAAAGCCAGTAATAACTTGGTCTGCAGAGGTATGTTCATGTAAACAACAACAAATTGAAATGAAGACACGAAATTTTGAGAATCTGCAACTAAATAGTCTCTAGGTGTAAAGTTAAAACAAGAAGAGGACTAAGAGAAAAGAAGCAAAATGTTAAAAGAGCCTGACACAGCTGAAAACTGCAAGTGTATGTTCATGAAAATATTAACTGTGTCCAAAAAACAAACCATGTGTAATTAGTTATTGTACAAGTGTATCCAGTAATCAATATCAGTGTGTCATTTTTACATCTTGTATATGTAGTATGAGCAGATCAAACAAATAAAATATATAGGTACTATATATTCTGTGCGTCGAGTGATAAACTATTTTTTCCTTTAATTGTAATTATTATCCTCATTATAATCTAGAAGAATACTACTCCCTTCGAGACCAGACAAGTGGAACACCTTGTACAGAGGAAAAGAACAGCTTGTGAAAACATGCAAATTCCACTACATGGCATTGGGCCAGAGGGCGAAAGCTCATGTGCCACTTGATCAAAAACAACAATCCTCATTATGCAATTCTAATATATATATATATGTTTTTATAAGGGTATGTATTTTGCATAACTGCTGGGTGCCTGTTTCTGTAGAACTGCAACAGTCGATACATCCAATTTTTGGCAGGCATTTATTAACCAAGTATGCATTCTTGGTTAACTTCACAGAATATTGCACAGCCTCATTCCTGTGACTTCCTTTTTTTAATCTACAACTACAGGTAATGCCCTCCATCTGACCTTTTTAGAACAGCTACATGTAAGGCTGTATACCCACAGGAGAAGGCTGGAGCAGAACAGGAACAGTTTCCACTATCCAAGAAGAATTCCATAAAAACACAGCTAACACCCATGTTCTTGGTGCTGGAACTAGGCCCAACAGTAAACCTGCTTTTCCACCTTGTTGACTGGAAGTCCTAGTGACCACGGCCCCACATAAATGTTTTGGGGTATTTAATGGGCAAAACACTAGACACAACATGAGATAACTCTGTGAAAAACATGCATGAGACAAAGCATCTACATACAGTTGACACATAGGCAAGTTGGGAACCAATTTTTAGCCAACAGGTCATTCAGCAAAATGTTTTGTTTGGTAGCCATTTTAAGTGCAATTTTTTAGTACAAATCATGTTTGTAATTCTGGGTAGGTTGGCAAATCGGTATGGAAAAAATTCCCTTACGAAAACATGATACATATTTGTAGAGGTATTCTGCAGCCTTTGTCACTATGCCTGGCATATGTAAATTAAATACAAAAATTATCAAGAAATTTAAAATATGTTCTTTTAAATACATTGTAAATTGATATTTACCTTTGCCTTCCTTGAATTCATTGACCTTGTACTGATAATAAGCATGATAAGCATCAGTCGGTTGCAAGAAGTTGAACTTTGGATTGTTAACCTCATTCTGACGAATTCGATTTTCAAATTCAGGTCCATTACGAGCCACAAAGCTGGCAGTTTTATCAACGATATCTTAGAATGCTTGTTAAAAAAAATGTTTCTTTTTAGTATGTAATGCATAAGACAACGTAATGTCACAATTCTTTATTATCACGAAGAAAACAAACAAGCAAGTTTGAAGTTCAAACAAACAATACAACTAAAAAAAAAAAGGATGAGGCTGAAAGAAATAACAAGTCCAGATATTTATAAATTGATAAACCAATAAGTCTAAAACAGCAGTCTCACTGAATTCAAATGGAACAAGAAATATATTAATGGTACTGGGCAAAGGGGATTTGTAATTTAAGACTATTTTTTTTTAACATGCAGCATTTACAAAACACATTCCTCCATGGCTTTTTTCTACAAAAAACAGGTGCCGGTACTTCCCGCCAAGTTTATTACAGCAGAGTTTTGAAAAATGTCCCCCCCCCCCCCCCCTCTCTTCCAAGGCCTGGTATTGCATATGTATGTGAACATACATTAGGCAATATATATTCACTGCCTTTTATTTTAGTCTGGTATATAATAACACATACAACTTTCATATCATCACTTCTTTGAACCAGGACATGAAAGATAATGAGAGGATAAGTGTCCTTGCAAGAAAAACCACCTTGGGATGTAGACCTATCTATGGACAGAATTAATGCCATACAAAAGACAAGGTCACAAGGCATGCTGAAGGCTCAAACATAAAGATACTGATTACTCTCTAACTCTGACTCAAATCCATTTATAACAGTTGGAGCTGCATGATATCAAAACCAAGAGCTCATAATGGCTACATTTACATGAACCAACAATGCAGCTGCAGCTGAGAAACAGGAGTCAATGTTTCAGTGTAATTTAAACACAGCTTCATAGTAAGATCAGTCTCTGTGGCATTGTAAGCACACTTAATAATGCTGGATGTTCAATCCTAACTGCAGGCGATTTTTTACCTGTGTTGGTTTCCACAGAAGTATCTAGAACTGATAGTTGAGTTGAAATAGAAATAAATACACTGAACATTATTATAATATACTTCATTATCACACATATGAAATTATTATAGCAAACGTAAATAGTAAACATTGGATTGGGTGTGTCGGTTCAATATTTTAAGTCTGATTATTATTAAATTCTGACCTCTGTGAAATATATCATATCAGTTTTTTGTTAATATTACAATTGATATTGAATATTATAACTGTTATTATATGACTGACTATCTAGCGACTACAGTTTCTGCAATTTGCGGTCTTTTTGGCAATTTCCGTTACCATGGAAATCGTTCAAAACTTGTTTGGGAAATGTCGGCTGGGGTTTCGGGATAGGTCCTAATCTCTCATGAAATTTTGCGATTGGTGTGATTTTCACCAGCTATAAATAGCTGAAAACGACGGGAACGAACCCGATTAACAGCGCATGTCTACGACAGCCGGACGTCCTCTGTTTTTCTGTTACATCAGTTTGATGAAAATAGCGGTAAAGTATTCAAGGTTGGCTTTAGGCCTTAAACATTACCAGACATGGTAATGCTAGTTATAATTGAAGTCTCCGTCCAATTTTACATTTGTATATAAAATTTCTTTCCTAGTTATGGCTTAGCGACTACAGTTTCGACAATTTGCTGTCTTTTTTGGCAATTTCCGTTACCATGGAAACCGTTTGAAACTTGTTTGGGAAATGTCGGCTGGGGTTTCGGGATGGGTCCTAATCTCTCATGAAATTTTGCGATTGGTGTGATTTTCACCAGCTATGAATAGCTGAAAGCGGCGGGAACGAACCCGATTAACAGCGCATGTCTATGACAGCCGGACGTCCTCTGTTTTTCTGTTATATCAGTTTGATTGAAAATAGCGCTAAGTATTCAAGGTTGGCTTTAGGCCTTAAATATTACCAGACATGGTAATGCTAGTTATAATTGAATTCTCCGTCCAATTTTAAATTTGTGTATAAAATTTCTTTCTTATCTGTGGCTATTTCGATTTACAGTGAAATGACATACAGAAATGACATACAAGCCTAAATGAGGTACCGTTGGAAAGAGATTGTTTACAGCTATCTAACTGTGCTGATTTTACTGGTGTAGAGGGCATTTTAAAAATTTGACTAAATTATCAATATGGCTAATTCGATTTACAGTGACATTTTTCAGGCAATCGCTATTATGCGGCTGTGTCTGAGAAAAATTGTCTGCCATCTTGTCTAATAAAAACAAAGCCAAAACGAAAGTGCACAGTTTGGTTGCGCAGAGAAAACTTCTTGTTTCTCGGACACAAGTTTTCAACAGCTGTTTTTTCACATCTCATCTCCACAAAAACCTACATATCTCAGCTCAGAAATGACATACAAGCCTAAATGAGGTACCGTTGGAAAGAGATTGCTTACAGCTATCTAACTGTGCTGGTTTTATTGGTGTAGAGGGCATTTTAAAATTTTGACTAAAGTATCTAGTCACTGTCGCCCGAGAGTACGGAAAGTATTAATATAAATATATATATTATTACTCAGAAAGATCAAGATGAGAAGAGAACATAGTGGTGAGAATAAGTTTAAAAAAAAATTACATTACATAATTGTAAATTAACTATTTCAAAACTGTTAACAATCAGTCACTCAGTCGACCAAAACCTGGATCTGATCGACTGATCAGGCAGATTCAGATTTGCTTAGGTGGGTAAGTAAAGATTCGTCGTCGCAACAGTAAAGTAACGCAAATAGTAACAGAGGCAATTTCGATAACTATTATAAAAAGTAAAAAGGATACTTCTAACTTCAGGTGGTGGGTAAATTATCCCTACTGTTGATTTTACAACTGGTGGAGCCTCCTCCACATTTCCATCTTCGATGGGAGCTTGCTGGACGTCAATAGACGGCATTTTTGTACCGAATAAACAACGTTTCTTTAAGTCGTCAAAACTTTCATGTCGGCCATACAAAATGGTATCATACCGGAAATACTATTTATGCCAGATAAATTCAATGAAGCAAAAGCTTAAAGTTGCTACGAGTATGCTACTATAAAACAAATTGAGCCTTACAAAACATACGAAAACAAAACAATGCAAATTAATAACAGTCAGCTCTACAAATAAGAGACGCCTACAAAGTTTCGATCTATGTCCTTATCACAACCAACAAGTTTGCTATATTCATGCTGGTTGCCTGTTTGTATTTTCGTAAATGGTTTTTACTGTTCCTACCTTGCTGTCAAAAAACTCTAATTTTTTGTCTGTATTGTTTACACTTTTACACTGTAATACGTTGGGACAACAAAAGCTCTGATTTTCCTGAAGATTTCCTGTGTGAGGACGCTTGTGTAACCAATCGAGATTGTCAAATTATCCCTTCTTTAATTGCATGATGACTTGAATATCTTTAATATACATAACGGATTCACCTAGATTAATTGCACTGCAAAAATGTATGACTTTTCTATAGCGTCTGGAGAATGAAATGTTCATATATAAGTATTATTATCTGCTTATCATTGAAAAGTGCAGTGTGAGTTGATTGCCTTGAACGAACATGGCATCATCGACACTGAATCTACAACTGGTGGAGCCTGCCAGCGGATTTGTTATCTTCGGTTGCAGAATCCACTGGACGTCAATAGACGGTAATGGTTTTTGTGTCGAATAAACAATGGCAGCAAAGTCGTCAAAACTTTCAGCGCGGCCTTACAAATGCTGATGGGAAATACTATTTGTGCCCAGATAAATTCATTGAAGCAAAAGCTAAAAGTTGCGCCGAGTAGCTACTATAAACCAAAGTAGTCTTTCAAAACATACGAAAAACAAAACAATGCAAATTAATAACAGTCTAGCTCTACACAAAAGAGAGCCTACAAAGTTTCGATCTATGTCCTTATCACAACCACAAGTTTGCTATATTCATGCTGGAACCAGTTTGTATTTTCGTAAATGGTTTTTACTGTTCCTACCTTGCTGTCAATAAACTCTAATTTTTTGTCTGAATTGTGACACTTTTACACTGTAATACGCGGGGACAACAAAAGCTCTGATTTTCCTGAAGAGGGGCCTGTGTGAGGACGCTTGTGCGGAAACCAGAATCGAGATTGTCAAATTATCCCTTCTTTAATTTCATGATGACTTGAATATCTTTAATATACATAACGAATTCACCTAGATTATTTGCACTTCAAAAATGTATGATTTTTTTATAGCGTCTGGAGAATGAAATGTTCATTTATAAGTATTATTATCTGGTTATCATTGAAAAGTGCAGTTTGAGTTGATTGCCTTGAACGAACATGGCATCATCAACACTGAATCTACAAAGTGGAACTGCCAGCGCGGCTGATGTCAGTGCTGATGGGGCCAGGGGGTGTGCCGCCTGGCGGCATTGCTGGGTTGTACCGCCTGCAGCCACCTAACCAGTGGTATTTCACTCTGGAAAATGCTACTAGGCCCTGCACAGAAAGAGCTTTACGATAGACGGAGTTGAAGTGAGTATGGAGCACCATGACAAGCAGAGAACCAAATTCTTCGTGAATTGGGTGCCGGCAGCCACCTTAGAAGCAGTGGTAAGAAGAATCGTGACCACAATAAGCGGAGACAAAAATCCGTCAGTTGAAACTTGGAGGGGGCAAGTGGGTATACTATCCTGGTGACTATGGCGGGTCGTAAGACCCCCTGCACAATTTGCAGCTCAACGGAACACTGGCCGAATGAATGTGATCAGAGGAGAAGACGGCCAGGACCACCACCCACATCGCCACAAACACTTCTCCTGAGAGAGGAGGACTTCCCCCCACTACTAGGAACTAGCACGGAGGTCGGTGTCACAAGGGTGGAGAGCAGTCTCCTTCTGAGGCAGCCTGTGATACCTCCCAAGGTGACGGGCTCCCACCGTCTTTCAAGACCTCTACAGCTCTTTTTGGCTGAGAAGGAACTTCTCCCACATTCTCCTGCCAAAACGGACAGACGCCGACAACCCTTTCCGAAACGCCAAATGAAGGTTTGGACCTGGCTTACCAATTGCCCTGGATTCACAGCCATGTGTTAAAACTGGATGAGTAGCTAAAACGGAAATTCTTTTTCTAACTATCAATGACAAGGATATATTGCACAAGGTGTTTTTCATTTTATAAAATGCAGTTTTTGCCTGTCCTATTCTGTTTCTTATCTCAGTTATGCATCTTCCATCTGATGTTATCTATGTGCCCAGATACTTAAATTTATGTACTTGTCCTAAAATAACACCATCAAATTTTATTACACACTTAGGAATAATTCGTTTCTTTGATACCATTACTTCTGTCTTCCCATTATTCAAACTGAGGCCCATTCTTCCACTTTCTAACACCACAATGGCAGACTTAATAGTGATTTCTATTAACATCTCTGGATTACGCACCAAACAACACCACATAGTCACACTCATACACAAATACAAACCTGACTTTATCTTTTTACAAGAAACAAACATTCAGACACCCTTTCTGGCCCAACAGATCACTACACAGCTTGGTTTGCGGCACGCTTGCCACAGCCTGGCAAAACACAACACGGGGTCAGGTACAGCCATACTGCAGACATCAGACAAGTGGGAAATAAAAATACACACACAGACGACCAGGGACACATGTGCATCGCACAAGTCGCAAACAACAGACAGACGTACACATAAGTCAACATACACGTCCCTGCAAACTATAATTACCAACACACATTTTACGAACAGCTAGACGAAACACTCACGCAGGCATACAGAGGACAGAAGTTCATCCTTGCCGGTGACTTCAACTGCGTCCTGACCAAGGAGGATGTGGTCGGTGGAAAGGTCGTAGCGCAGGTGAGGAGGGCCGGCAGGGACGACATAAATCAGCTCGAAACACTCAAGAACATCATCGACACTTTTAACTTAACAGACACTTTCAGACACAAACACCCCACCAGCCTCGACACGACACATAGAAACAAAACACACAACAGATCAGCCCGATTAGACAGAATATACACACACCAGCGACACACCACATCATACAGAGCAAACACTTACCGGAAACACTACAATACACGGACCACCAAGCAGTCATAACACACATCGACGCACATAACGCTCACACACAACCCTTCAAACGCTCACCACACTGGAAATTTAACAACACACTGTTAGAAAACACCACCTTTACAGCATAAATGGCGGATTTAATACGATCGTACACAGATAACCTACCGACATAATTTTTTTTTTTTTTTTTTTTTTTTTTGAATATTGGGAGATGCTGAAAAACACCATTAGAAGTAGGACACAGAGACTGGCATCTCTCATACACAGACACAGATTAGCACAAAAACGCACCTTACAAAACGCCATCCGCCTAACAAAGCAGACAGACAGAAACAGTCCACACTTACACACACTAGAGCTAGAACTAGAGAAACACCAACAACACAGGTACCTAGGCGCACTACTAAGAACAAAACTCGGCACAATAACACAAGAGACACCTAGTCAACAGTACCTCGCCATCGAACAGAACATCCAGCACAACAGACAAATACAGCAAATCACGGACACTGAGGGAAACACGCAGACAGACCCGACACAAATCACGCGGGCCTTCCACAGATGCTACACCACCCTCTTCACAGCAGAAACAACGGACGAACATGCACAAGATTTCTTCCTTCAACATGTCAAAAGCCTCCCCGACACAGAGCCTTGACGCACCGCTGACTATAGCGGACATCACGCGCGCCTTGGAGACCATGCAGAACGGCAAAAGTCCTGGCAGCGATGGCATTTCTGTGGAATTTTACAGTTTTTTCTTTCCTTTATTAGGCCCTCTCCTTATCAAGGTCTACGAAGACGCCTTCAACACATCTTACATCACACTCATACCCAAAGACAGCGCAGACCGAACACGACTAAAAAACTACAGACCCATCTCTCTGCTCAACACGGACTATAAGATCTTGACGAAAGCTCTAACGAATCGATTGAAACCCTTTCTATCCACGCTAATCCATACCAACCAGCAGTGTCGATTGAAACGCACCTCATTCGATATCATCACCACCCTAATCCATCCATCAGGAAAAGGCCTTTGACAGGATCTCCCAGCAGTGAGGCGGTGCAATTTGGGAAAACAATTTATCTGGTGTAGATCAGCGTACAAGAACCCCTGTGTGTGAACCATTCATTGTCGGATGTTTTCCTGTCTGTGAGGCAATGTGCTCCTTGTCACCCCTCCTGTACGTGCTCACGTTGGAGCCGCTGCTCGAGGCTGTCTGTCTGTCGGTCGGTCGGTCTGTCTGTCTGTTTGCCAGCCTCTGTCTGTCGAGTACCATCTTCTATAACAATGCTTCCCTGATATTTAAATTCTCGCACTTTGGCTGTAGTACTATTAACATGAACGTTCATATTATTATGTTTCTCTGCCTATTCTCATTACCTCAGTCACCTCAGTGTTGATTTTTATTATCATACATGGCGCATGTTTAATCTAAGAGTGTGACGTTGCACATTTTTAAGCGATGTTCTTCAACCTGTTTACACCCGCGAAACCAGCAAAAAATAAAGGAAATTGTTTCCTGGACCACTTGATGCAGAATCAAACCTTTCAGCTCATGCGGCATTTGCTGCTGATAAAAGGTCACAAATCTGATATACCTGGCTGAAGTGTTATTTCTCATAGACAAAGCGCTGTAATTAAATCCTTTTCAATGCTATGTTTGGTTTTTATTACTGAATCGCTGAGAAAAGTCTTTTCACAAAGCAATGAAGTCTGTTCGTCCGGCTGTTTATAAAAGCCAAACACACACAAATCGACCACGTTCAACCTACTGCGAGTGGTATCGGCTATAATTCTAGTCTGGTTTCTGTGTGCCAGATATGTTGGCTAAGAAGT